CTGGTGACACGAATGTCGGTAGCTGATTGTTGAATCGTGTGGCGAATAGATCTATTAGCGGCGCTCCTAATTGCTTGATTATCTGTGCAAATATTTCCCTGTTGATCATCCACTCTGTCGGTGATGGTAGATGAGGCCGCGAGAGAGCGTCTGCTAGTACATATCTGGCTCCGGGAATGTGAACTGCTCTGACATGTAGATTTAGATCTTGGATTAGATCGAACAGTTGAAAGCTTAAGTTCAAGAGGTTCAGCGATCTCGTTGAGCCTTGGTTGTTTACGTAGAACGCCACTGTCGAATTGTCGGTATGGATCATTAGGTGCGCATTTTGTAGAAATGTGCTCCAATGTAGAATGGCGTTGATTACAGCTTTCATTTCTAGAATGTTTATATGGAGTTTGCTTTCTTGCTGATTCCATAATCCTGATATCGTGTGGTTGGCGAGATGAGCTCCCCAACCTTGGAGTGACGCGTCTACATATAGATGGGTTTTGAATTCCTGCTCTGCTAAACAAATCCCTATCGCAGATATTCGATTTCTTGGTCCACCATAGTAGATGAGGTCTGAGATGTTTATAGACTGAATGGTTGTACATCGTTGAGATGTGCGTTGATGAGGACCTGTAGGGGACGTAACTGTAATCTGCCTGTGCCAGTCATGTCTTGGGCTGATGTGAGAAGACCTAGTAGGCTCTGCCATTGTTGAAGTGGTAACGGAGAGAGTAGAGCTGGTGGAATGGTCTGTTGTATCTTGAGCCAACGGTCTTCTGGTACAACGATACGGTTGCGATTTGTGATAAATCAATTACCTAGGAACTGCAGGTCTTGCGATGGTACTAGGTCCGACTTGAGTAAGTTTACTAACCATCCTAGCTGTGTTAGTAGCTTTATGATGTAATTTAACTGTAGTTTGAGATGCTGTGGATCTTGATCTACTTGTATCCGTCGTCGAGGTAAAAGCGCCTCGTAGCCCTTAGCGATGTAGAAAGAGTGATAATCGGTTTTTGTTATCCTCGTTGAATAGCCAGGGGCTGATGATATTCGAATGGGGAGTACTTTCCACTGGTAATGTAGCCCTTCTAGAGTAAACCGTAGGTATTTCCTGGAATCGGGATGAATAGGGATGTGCAGGTAGGCATCCTGTAGATCTATGCTGCCCATGTAGTCCATAGGGACGAATCATCTGGCGTAACTGAGGTAAATGTATCATCTTGAACTTTGGGTGGTTTCATGTAGATAATTCTTGTTGAAAAAGCTCATGTTGTAGATGAGTCTGTATTTCTCCTTGGAGTTTTCTTGGGAACTAGGAAAACTGGGGAGTAGAAACCTGGTTCGATGTTTGCTTGATCTATTACTTCTATGGCCTGTTTGGTTAGGAGTGATGAAACAGCCTCTCTTAACTTTGGTAGTTGTTGCTTGTAAATCGAACTTGTGGGGTTTGATTGTCAGCGGAGGCTTGGCCTGTAATGGGATCTGAAAATCCGTGTTGAAGAATGTTGGAGACGTAAGGGTCTTGCAATATTCCCCAGTTTTCCCAGTGTAGTTGGAGACGTCCACCCACTTGTGATGGTTGTACTGGAACGGCTGGGGGTGGAAGACTCCAGTCGTTCCGAACCTGTGTTTCAGCGTTTATAGTTGCGGGAACCTCTGGGTGTCCTGCCTCTTCCTGACCCTCCTCTATAGTTGCCATATGGGCGACGAAAAGAATCTTTACCTCTAGAGCTGGCTATCTTCCTGTCTCTTGCTCTTTGTAAGCCCGTGAACTTAGATCTCCCTGAGTATCTTTGTGAAGTCTGACGAATGACGCTGGCTAGTGTGTCCATCGATTTAATCATAAGGACTTCCCTGGAATCCTTAGTGACTTCCTTGGAGACTTTGTCTATTTCTCCGTTAAAGATGGATGTTGTAGACCACGGGGCTGTATAAAGTGGGGCTGTAAAGTTCTCACCCCAGTTGCAGGAAGCGAGGAGGCCTTGACGAGCTAAGGTCAGTGCTGCTGCAACAGATGTAAGATGATCCGTTAAGAACTGCTGGTCCTTCTTTTGCATAAGTAAGGCAGAGTAAATCATTCTATCATCTTCAGCAGTGGTATCACGAAATCTAGTGATAAGAGTCTCATTGATCGTTCTAGATCTAATTAACCCAAAGAACATACGTCTCGTCATGGTTTCTATATGAGCCAACTTGCGATCATCAATCTTGTAAATCTTGTTCTTGACATCGCTGATGATCTTATAGTTCTCATCGATGTCTTGGGCTTTGTAGAAGGGGTCCATGTTATGCGTGGAGAACTTCTTGGCATGAAAGTTTGGCAGATGTGGTGTCTGAACTTTCGTGGCTTTATGGAATGCTGCATCTAGATTCTGTGGCACTGTCGCGATCGGGTCGATCGGGGGTAGTGTGATCGCATCTGCATCGTCTTCTTTCATCAAGTAAGTCTGCGCCGTATTGCCACTTTTAGATGGTGATGAGAGATCTAGGTTATTGACCATCCAATACCGTATCTCTGCATCGGAGAAAATGATTCCTCCATCATCCTCAATACCATCATAATTGATGAACGGTTGATGCTCTTCGGGACTGCGTGTAGCTGTCTCTACGTCCGGTGATGCTTGTGGTGATCTAGTTGACTTGTGCGCAGATCTATGTGGTGACCTGAAAGGTGATCGACACGGTGATGAACGAAGCGGAGATCGTCTATGGGATGATCTTCTCGGAGACTTGTGAGGCGAATGTTTATAGCTTCGCGAAGCTCTTCTATAGTCCCTCGATGTCCTTCTAGATGATGAAGATCTGGATTCATGTGTCCTTCGCGAATGCTTTCGCGAAGCCTCGTTTGCGTCCGGTCTGGGGGAGCGACGATGTGACCTTCGCGAAGGCTTCCGTGACGTCTGATGGTCAGAGTCCATATCTAGGGGCGAAAACCGAAGATAGTGATGATCTATCCGCCCCAGCGAAGGCCTTTCGCTGTGTACATCTAGGTCCTTCGTCAAGGTGGTCCGGGACTTCCTTCGCGAAGGTGACATCGTCCTGGCTGCTACGCTGGACGGGGGTGCCTCTGGGGTGCTGTCTACGTTGGAGCCTTCGCGAAGGCTCGGTCCCTGCTTCTGCAGTCTGTAGCGGTCCTCCATCATGGTCATAATTTGCCGCATCAGGTCCTCAGGGATGGTCTGTGACGAAGTCGTCGGAGCCTTCTCTGCGGTGTTAATGGTGGGGTCCACATCAATAACGTCCGACGTCAGTGTAGAGGCATCAGGCTGCATGGTGATCTCTGCTGAAGTCACAGTCGCTGACACCGGTCGCTTCTTGTGCCGTAAGTCGGGGATGATTATCGGCTGATCATCGTAGAGGCCCAATTCTGCGGCTGGAACGATCTCGGCTGAGAAAGTTCTCGCTGTCTTCGTAGATTTCCCTTTGGAAGTCGGCGCTGCCCTGGGGGTCCTAAGTCTGCGTTGAGAAGACGTTGAGACCCTCTTGGACTTGGTCTGCGATGATGGGATGTCTGGGGAGGCCGGTCGCTTCTTCGAGGTGACGGACTGCGTCCCACGTTCCTCTACCGATGGGGTCTCTAGCAGAACACCAGACGGGAGGGGGTCGATCGCTAGCAGCTGACTGGATGGAATATCTGGAATATCGGCCATGTTTTGCCCTTGTTTGCGTGACCTATCTGCAGCACGTCTTAAGACGCAAAGATGATATTTATTAAATGCAGAATGAGATAAATTAATGCAGTAACTGCAACGTGAATCAAACGCACACGGCGTAGAACAACTAGGGCATATTACATGCGGATCAGAGGCAGAAAAACGTAATCTACAAATAGTAAAGATTTTCATCAACGTAATGCTAGCTGAACAATCACGAACACACGTGAATAAACAGTAGAAATAAGATAAATAATCAATACAAATTAGTGAAGGATACTAGCTATACCTCTATAGTAACCTAAGAGAGGTAAAAACTAAGAAATTATCAAAGGATATGGTGTGTAAGGAGACACAGGCGCTCTCACATCCTGCTCACTGGGCGAAGAAGGAGAGAGTGAAGCACATGGCCAGAGGGTGGCGACACCTTTTCCCGCCAGGGGAGCAAAGGGGAGCAACTCGTGGTGAGTACCAATTAGTGATTTTACATTGAAGGGAGCTTCAATTAAGGAGATACAAGTGTTCCACTATGTTCGGAAGAAGAAGAAGACAAGCAAAAGAGCATGAGTCAGGATAAGGAAAAATCTATACAGCAATAACGTTGATGATGAGTATGGCTCCATGCATTCTCAAAACCCAGGTAGTGTTACCTGCTTCAAGCCAATCCCTGGGATGAAAGTACAGGTAACTGTCAATCACTAAATTGTTCTGACAAGTCGTGAGTAATTGCTTCTCAACTGATCAACATTAGGACTAACAGCTCATGTCATAGGGTTACACCTAGACTAACGCTTACTAGTAGTCTCTGAATATACATGTATATAATTTTGATAGTAACAAACAAGCCCATATAAATTGAAAGGGAGACCAGAGATTCAGAACCTGAGGAATCTAGACTTGCTTTATTTAGGGCTTTAGCGCTGCAGAGAGGGCGAGGCAGTAGGGAAACTAATGTGGTTCAGGGACTGTGAGACAGACTAGATTACCCCATGACACATCACTAGCAGTTTTCCCCAACACTGAACATGAGACCAAAGACTGTTTATGATATAATGATACTGAAATGCTGTGATAAAGTTGCAGTACTGCTCCAAGCAGTGTCAAAGCCAAATCATTAACATCACATGGGAAAACTGATTAATACTTACTTCATTGGCAATAAAATGACTGATGTTCTGGATTTAAAGTGACATGGTCTGAGAAATATTTTCAGTGCAACAGATCTTGAAATGTTGACCAATTTTCAGCTTTCCTGCTTATGACTGTTTTGCAGTCTTGTATCATGCAGTGTGCATCATGAAGTAGCTTCATGCCTTTCAATGAACGGCAGAAGTGTGTTTACAAATGCAAAAATGCTTCAAGTTTTCATTTTTTTATTGTAATTTCTTTTGGACATGATGATTTTCACTGGTTTGTTGGCAATGTAGTGATATCTGATGATTCAAACTGCATAACTTTCTGATAGCATTATTACATTTTAATTACAACACTTACATGAAAAAAACATTAATGTATGTGATCCACATCATCTGAAACAGGAGTTAACTCCCCTCCCTTCCAAATAGTTTCCCTGACAAGCAGGTTAGCTTCAATTTAAAAAAAAATCATAGGCTGTTGCGACATAATCTTCCCCTTTACGTCTCCTGATGTTGATGTGACAGTTCACTCTTCTCTATCTTCCCTCACTGGCTGTAGGTACAGAATGCCCCCCAACCCTTTCTCTCCCCGATGTTGATATGACAAGGAGTTAACTCCCCTGTATCTTCCTCCATGGTTGTAATGGAAGAATCTCCCCATTTCCCTCCCCTGATGTTGTGAGGGGAGTTCACTCCCCTTTATCCCCTTCATCAGCTGTAGTCACCGAGTCTCCCCCTTCCTCATCCTTGTCTCTTCGCTTCTTGCTCTTCCTGTGCTTGGATCGATGGTGGTCGTCCTCATCATCTCGATGCTTTCTGTAAGCAGAGAGGGAAACATGGACAGATGAACAGGGCTGCTGCTATAGAAGCACTATGGAAGCATTCTGCTTACTTGAATGTGATAATATAGCAATCTACCATTAATTGCTCACAATGCTTACCCAATCTGAGGAGAGAACTGAGTCCATCTATATAGTAACTCCATGATCAGACATTCATACAGTTAGCTATTTATGTTAATGTTTGATTCTTACCTTCGTGTTCTGTGCTTATCATCTCTATGACGAGAATCATCTCTATCAGTTGACCTTGACCTTCTTTTATCTCGGTCTCTGTCTCGGTCTCTATCCCGGTCCCTACCCCTGTCTCTTTCACGATAAGGGTCCCGATCTCGTTCCCGATCCCTGTCACTGCGGTCTCTCTCTCGGTCACGTTCCCTGTCTCGCCAATAATTGTCCCTGCTAAAAACAGATTATATAGTGTGAAACCATTGTCTGTCACAGTCCTGCCTACTGTGGGGGGTACTTTGTTGCCACAGAAAATCTGGTATTTAGTCAAAGTGATTGAAAGATGGAATCTAGACACATGTGAAGTATTCAAGATCATATAATGATTTTCTTGTTTCTGTTTGTAGTTTCAGCAGGCCAAAAACCCGGGCACATGTATATAAACAGTTCACCATGTAAGAGAGAAGTTTCTGGAGTCAAAGAGTTCATACACTGTAATCATTAAAATGACAGCAAGCCATTTAAAGAAAAAAAACAAACGTAATCTGTAAAAACTCCATCAAATGTCATAAATCTTTTTTTAAGGAAGTACCTCAGCTATCCATACAACTGCCTATATTCTACACAAAATGTGGCACCCAATCTAGTATCATTTTTCAAATATTGTTAGGCCAAAATACTTGCCATGCAAATCAAAGGGAAGCTTATCCCATTTTCTTAACCTGTCTATTTCAAACATGTTCTCTTCCCCTACGGAGTTTAACCATTTTTATAATGATAAGACATGCAAATGTGATGCATATTTCGGGTTTCCTACTTTTCTTACCTTCCAAACTCTTGGTCTGGACTCCGATCTCGTGTGTGTCGGTCAGAATTGTACTTCCATCGATCGTCGTAGCTGCAAGTCAGATACAACAATGTAACTGAGACACATGGGTCAACACATATATGACACTGTACATCAGTACTTTCCAGATCAACAACATCCCGGCAAAGTATCGGTAACAGTCCACTTGAACAAACCTGTGAAGTGAGTTTTGTTTTATGCCACACACAGTAATATTCCAGCTATATGGCAGTGGTCTGTAAATAATCAAGTCTGGACCAGACAATCCAGTGATCAACAGCATGAGCATTGATCTATGAAATTGGGATACGATGACATGTGTCAACCAATTCAGCAAGCCTGACCACCCGATCCAGTTAGTCGCCTCTTACAACAAGCATGGGTTACTGAAGACCAATTCTAACCTGGACCTTCACCGGTCACCCTGTGAAGAACAAACCAGCTCACAACCGTGTGCTGTTGAGGGCAAGGTCAACATTTATTGTTCATGACATCACAAACTGGTAACAAGACACCATCCAAACAAGAAGACACGGTCATCAATATCCCCGCCACAGTGTTCTGTTTCTATTTGGTTCCTGTTTTTTAACTCCAACATGACATTCATGTCCAGAAAACTCATACCACATTTGGTTTCCCTGTCTATAATGGTTACTGAGAAAATCTGTCCCCATTGGGGATAACGTGCACTAAGTGAAGAAACACATGACATGGGCCATAACTCTGTAACAAATTGTAACACGATTTCCGTATTTGAACTCCATGAAGGCATTCATGTCCTGAAAACACATACCAAAATTTGGTTTCCCCATCTATAGTATATCGATTTTTGAGAAAATCTGTCCCCATCATCTCGGACAGATGGAAGGATGGACGGACAGAGCTCAAACCAATATCCCCCTCTCTGTATATATATGTCATACATTTTTCTGCCTTTTCTTCCTTTAAATTGACGAACTCAGAAAAAAGGATGTACAATGATACACAGGTCTGTCATATCATGGTCGAGTTTCAGTCACTCATGGTGTGTATGGCCCCTCGTCATACTCCTTCATACGTCTGTTGGTTTTGGGATGTATTCTACCTTGGGATTACCAACATGGAACTACACATAAAATCATCTACATATCCTACCTTTGGAAGTTCTGGTGATGTCCTTCCGTGTAATTTGGAGTGAAGGTGTTGCTCTCGTAGTTGAAGCCAGGAGGGGGGTGGCTGAAGGCTGAAGAAAAAACACCACCAACACCACCATGAATCATGCTGTAATGCTAGTGTTTGTTTCACGGATAGTTGATTACAACTTGTTCAGTGTTAGAAATTGTTTATTCCAGATAAGTTTGCCAGTAGCCATATTGATAATGAAAATTTGAAAAGAAAAATAAGTTGAATCTGGTTGGGGTCAAACTTTCAAAAGGAGCAATACAGCTCTCGGTCATTTTCAATAAATCTATATTCTGGACAACTCACGATCATACTGCTCTGAGCCATATGGTGTCGGGAGAGGTACAGCAACACCTGGTGGTGGAGGCACTCCTGTAATGTAGACAGCATAGGGTTACATGTCTCCCAGACAATAACAAAGACACAACTGACATTTTGTAGAAATACCTTTAAAAGATCAGATTTTATGAAGTCTGACAAGTGTACAGAAAGGATATGCAAGGTCTTCAAAAAGGGAGTCAATATAACACTGTGTCATATGTATGAAGTTCTTTTGTCAAAACTCATCTGTTCTGTAGTTGTGCATTTACTTGTCGGGTGGAAAGGCTAAGAGGTGATGTGATGCTCTGCCTTTGAATGTCAACTGCTAATACCATGCAGAAATCCACTGGCACAATTGCACTCCCTTACATACCTGGTGGAGGCAGCCCCAGGGGTGGGGGCATCCCTGGTGGGGGCATGGAGTAGTCAGGCATCATCGGCGGCATCCCTGGTGGGGGTACTGATGGTGGCTGGAACTTTCGACTGAAATACAATTGATTCAGTGAGTGACTTTTGACAAGCCTGGGAAATTACTGATTGAAAGCATACTCAACAATTCCCCATCTTCTGGGTATACTGGCATGCAATCAGCCAGGTCACAAGTACATTAATGCATAATGTCTGATTCCAGATCTCACTTCAGTTATAAAGTCTACAGGCAAATACCACCATCTGGTTTCTGCATGGAACATTTGACCATCCTTTAACTTTAGTGTCACTGGTATAGGCCCATTGAGTCCATCTTATTCATTCATCATTCGGGCTACAACCTACGAGAGACAGAGGCAAGTACCAGAGCCATGATATCCGTTGTGGCATACAATAAGCAATGGTAGCAATTACTACACACACACTCACTCTTTATGTACCATTTATGTAATGGAATGTCTAATATTAGTTACTGATATTACTGACTGTTATTAAGTTAAATTCAAATAAGTTGTACCATTATTAGTTTTATCCGAATCAACGTGTGACAAATGCTGGTCACCAGCTGAACAAAACAGTCAGTGGAGCTTTTAATCCAAGTTACCAGAGGTCTGTAACATTCTAGTCAACTTTCAGCGATGGATTTTCTGAGGATGTAATCTCGGTATCAGCGAGTTGTCTCATCACTGCTTATTCTACTCTCTTGAGGGTTCTAAGCCAACTGGGCGGTGGGGTAGCCTAATGGTTAAAGCGTTGGCTCGTCACGCCGAAGACCCGGGTTCGAATCCCCACATGGGTACAATGTGTGAAGCCCATTTCTGGTGTCCCCTGCCGTGATGTTGCTGGAATATTGCTAAAAGCGGCATAAAACCAAACTCACAGTCAGTCTAAGCCAACTTATAGTAGAGAAAAGCAGCAGCTTACTAGTCTGGAGTGACCCCTGTGACAGGTATGGAACTGGATGTTGACCCTTGACCTGGGCGTCGAGAATCATGGACTGTGCTGCCAATCACATCAATGGTACCTCCCAATTTTCTATTTGGCGGTGGTTGAGCTTTCCTTATTGAACTTGTAGTAGCTGAAGCATAGACATGTGGAGCTTCTGTTAGGAATAAAGATCTTAACATGACAAAAATGTAATTTTTGGAGTAAAATTGATATTTTATACTTATCCTGACTCATGCTCTTTTTGCTTGTCTTCTTCTTCTTGCGAACATAGTGGAACACTTGTATCTCCCTAATTGAAGCTCCCTTCAATTTAAAATCACTAATTAGTATTCACCACGAGTTACCTCCTTTCCACAAGCGCGGGAACGAGGGCGCCACCTCTACCCATGTGCCTCACTCTCTCCTCATATACTGAGCCCAACATTTGAATTTACAGGGAAATCCAAAGTGTTATTTGGGGAGGATGGGAGGGCTGACCTCATGAGTCAGGATAAGTATAAAATATCAATTTTACTCCAAAAATTACATATTTTTCCTTATCCTGACTCATGCTCTTTTCTGTAGCCAGCATCCTACAGACGGAGGTGGGAATATCTAATACTTTGGATTTTTAATAATTAGTGATTTGAACTGTGATGATTGTAATAACCCTATGGGAACTTCATAAAGGCACTGAACTGATGAATTCCTGCTGCTAACTTATCAGCTGCCATATAAAGGTTATTACCATGTACTTATTATGATAAAGTATATATAACATTAATACAATGCTTAAGACTAATAGACTTAAGCTTGTTAATATGCTAGTATAAACTCCTTAGAGTTTGTTAGCTAAAATACTTTAAGATATAACATAGTACTAAGCTTAAGATATGATTAAACTTAAGCTAATTATATAATAGCAAACTCTTTAGAGTTTGTTAGTTAATATACTTTTATGATATAGATATAATGCTGAGCTTAAGATATGAATAAGCTTTAGCTACATATATAATAGCAAAAACTCTGTAGAGTTTGTTAGCTAATATATTTTTTTTATAATATGAGTATAGTACTGTGCTTAAGCTATAATGAACTAAAGCTACATATATAATAGCCAAACTCTGTAGAGTTTGTTAGCTAATATATTTTTATAATATGAGTATAGTACTTGCTTAAGCTATAATTACCTTAAGCTACATATATAATAGCCAAACTCTGTAGAGTTTGTTAGCTAATATATATTTATAATATTAGTATAGTACTGAGCTTAAGATATAATTAACTTAAGCTACATATATATAGCAAAACTCTGTAGGGTTTTGTTAGCTAATCTATTTTTACAATATGAGTATAGTAGTGTGCTTAAGATATAATTAACTTAAGCTACATATATAATAGCAAAACTCCATAGAGTTTGTTAGCTAATATATTTTACAATATGAGTATAGTAGTGTGCTTAAGATATAATGAACTTAAGCTACATATATAATAGCAAAACTCCGTAGAGTTTGTTAGCTAATATATTTTACAATATGAGTATAGTATTGTGCTTAAGATATTATTAACTTAAGCTACATATATAATAGCCAAAACACTCTGTAGAGTTTATTAGCTAATATGTTTATAGTGTAACCATAGTACTAAGCTTAAGATAAGATTAGACTTAAGCTAAATGTATATAGCAAAATAAACTCCTTAGAGTTTATTAACTAATATACTTTTATGTTAAAAACATAGTACTGAGCTTAAGTTATGATGAAACTTAAGCTATATATATATAATAACCAAACTCCGTTCGAGTTTGTTAGCTAATACCTTTATAATGTAAACATACTGCTTAAGATATGATGAAACTTAAGCTAATTGTATAATAGCGAAAACAACCCTTTAGAGTTTGTTAGCTATGATATAAACCCTAGTATTGAGCTTATGAAGGAAAACTTAAGCTACATATATAATAGCAAGAACTCCGTGAGAGTTTGTTAGGCTAATACATGTTATAATGTAACCATAAAGCTTAAAAATATGATGAAACTTAAAGCGAAATATATAATAGCAAAACCCTCTTTTAGAGTTTTGATAGCTAATATACCTATATGATATAAAACATAGTACTAGCTTAAGATATGAATAAGCTTAAGTTACATATATAATAGCTAAAACTCTGTAGAGTTTGTTAGCTAATACATGTTATATATATAACCATATTGCTTAGAAATATGATGATACTTAAGCCAAATAGCAAAAAACTCTTTAGAGTTTGTTAGCTAATCTACTTATATGATATAAACATAGTACTAAGCTTAAGATATGAATAAGCTTAAGCTACCTATATAATAGCAAAACTCCTTAGAGTTTGTTAGCCAATATATTTTAATAATATGAGTATAATTACTATGCTTAAGGTATAATTAGCTTAAGTTACCTATATAATAGTAAAACTCTGTAGAGTTTGTTAGCTTAATTAACTTAAGCTATGTATAAAATAGCCAAAAAGTCTGTAGAGTTTGTTAGCTAATGCATTTATCATGTAACCATAGTATTACTCTTAAGATATGAATAACTTAAGGTAAATATATATAATAACAAACTCTGTAGAGTTGTTAACTTATATATTGTATGATGTAATAATCATAGTACTGTGATGATAAAAGGAACTTAAGTAAATTATATATAGCATGAAGCTATTTAGTATTGTTATAAGATAAGTAAAAAATCTGTTAGATTGACTTATCTTCTCCGAGAACTGTCAGCTGTTGTCTAGAGGACCATGGGATCAATTGGTGTATACCTGAGGCGTCCTCGGTGGTGATATCTCTCAGATAATGGTTTGCAACCACCATATCAGTTCAGAAATAAACCCTCCATTATTTCAATCACATTTGTGTAGAACAATTGTATAGAAGTTAGCTCTAAATATCATGAGTATTAAGCTCATGGAGGGTGGAATAGGTCCATCCGCGATATGCACGTAGTATGACAGTTCTGATCCAAACGGAGATATAGTACATGAGACTTCACTCTAGATAGTAAGTTGATGATAGAAATAATCTGTTGCATTTTTCCTCCCTGATTGAGTTCGATGGAGATAAATTTACAGTGCCCTTGCTGTGCATCTTGATAGAATCATCGTATCATGGGGTCCAAGTATGTCATCCAGCGTGTTCATAAACCTCACTTGTGAGGTGTTGGAACACTATATTCATATCCCAGGTTGGTAGCGTGAAATTTCCGTTTTATTCTCCAAACAGAAGTTTAATAGGTTTACTAACCATCTAGTTGTGTTAATTAAGCTTGATGAAATTCAGCTGTAGTCTGAAGCGCTGTGGATTTAGATCCACTTGTATCTTTAGTCTAGGTAATTAAGCTCGCGAAAGTCCTTGGCGATGTAGGTGCACAACCAGGTGTGTCTGTCCTCGTTGAACTTTATGTAAAATCGCCTGACTGCCGATCCCTCGTCTTAACTTGACAGGGGAGGTCTCTAACTTGAAGAAGGCAGTCTAATCATGAATGTTCAGGTTAACTGGACTGTAATGAGGCTTGCTCGTTCACTGATATATAGTTGTCACTTGTGACGAAAGTCTTGAACTGTGAATTGAGATCGACCTCTGCGTAGGTCGTTGTCCCTCGCGGTCCAATCAGAACAAGGCATTTTGATTCTGTATAATACCCGCGCTGTGATGTCACCGGTGTAGCGGGAAAAAACCCACCTTGAATAAATTCTTGTGCGTCGTTGATATTAGCATAAGCGTCGGTCTTCACCGTAGCTTCCGAAGTTAACCGAGTGTGACCACGTGTTTCGAGGGTTAATGGTAATCATTGCTTGAAACCTCCGGTATGAAATATCTCGCTCTGTAATTTTATGCTGGGTAAGTTATTTTCCTGGTTGTCGAAAGTAATTTCAGTTTTGAATATAATTCCGACTTCCTTATATAAGGGTATAAACAACTTGCAAGTTGTGAGCTTGTAGACTGTATACATGAATGTATCGTCATAATTGTAGAATTAACGTTGAACTTGTTGTACATATTTCTTCTCAGAAACTTTGGCGATTAAGAGTTATACTAAGCTGTAACAAGGCTGCTGTTCAATTTCGATATTGAATTGTCTGCAGATATGCGTAATGGTCAGCATGTGTAGATAATCGATATCGTCGTCGGGGATTGCATATTAGCAATTTATCACGGAATAGTTGATTTCTGTGAAGATCTATGAAATGTCGATTGACTAAATAATACAGCGACGTTCTGTGTTGTAAATAGCCTGAGCAATTATCTTAGCAGGGTTTATAGAGGCGGCATCTGGCATACAGTTGATAATCAACTTATGCGGCGTCTTGAAACGGACTGACAGTAGCTATATATGACGAGTGGCTAGTATATGGAAACCTTGGAGGAGACTTCCTCGGTGAGCGCCGGAGACTTCGAAGTTCTCGAAGTATCCCTTCTAGATCTTCTGGGTGAAGTAGACTTGGAGCCACTTAGCCTCCGACCACCATGGCGAAGGTGTCGAGTCAAAACCCGATTAGTATATATATATATATATATAAATATATATATGGCTTTGCTTCGTGAACAGCCTCTGTGTTTAACAGGATGTGGGATCGGCGGCTTTGCTTGCCTAAGTAGGGCCGCATGGATCATCTTATCATTTTCAGAAGTGGAGTGTTCACGAAGTCTGGTGATAAGTGTCTAATTGATCGTTCTAGATCTATTTAGGCCAGCGAACATATCGCGATCTCGTCATGGATTCAACAGAACCAATATCGACTGTAGTTCTTATACTTGATATCGATGATCAACTTGTCTATGGGTTGATCTTCGGAGACTTAATGAGGGAGCGTTGATAGTTTCATGAAGCTCTTGTATAGTCCCTCGATGTCCTTCTAGATGATGATGATCTGGATTCAGGTGTCCTTCGGCATGCCTTGCTGCTTTCTCTCGCGTCGGTCGGAGGCGGCGACGATATGACCTTCGCGAAGGCTTCCGTGATGTCTGATGGTCCGAGTCCACATCTAGGGATGAAACCGCATAAGGTGATGATCTATCCTGCCTTCGAAGTCCTTCGCGAAGGCTGTACATCTAGGTTCTTTCGCCGAGCGAAGGCTGTACATCTAGGTCCTTTCGCCCAGCGAAGGCCTTCGCGAAGAGCTGTACATCAGGTCCTTCGTCAAGGTGGTCCGTGACTTCGCTTCGCGAAGGTGACATCGTCCTGGCTGCTAACGTTGACGGGGTGCCTCTGGGGTGCTGTCTCACGTTGGAGCCGTTATGAAACTTCGGACCCTGCTACCGCCCAGATTATGAGTGGTCCTCCATGATGTTCATAATTTGTCGCATCATGTCTTCTGGGATGGTCTGCGACGAATTCGCCGGGTGCTTTATCTCTGCGGTGTTAATGGAGGGGTCCACCCGAAAAATCGTCCGACATCAGTGTAGAGGCATCAGGCTGCATGGTGATCTTTGCTGATAATCGTTGTAGCTGTCACCGTGTCGTTTCTTGTGGCGTGCGTACGGATGATGATCAGCTGATCATCGTAGAGTCCAGGTCATCGGCTGGAACAATCTCGGTTGAGAAAGTCCTAGTAGACTTCTCGCGTTGATTTTCCCTCAGAGGTTCGGCACTGCCCTGGGTGTGCGCGGCGCCTGGGCGTTGAATGTTGGTAATGATGGGACCCTCAGGGCCGATCATCGCATATCTGTTGGTACATCAGGCTGCATGCTGATCTGTGCCGACATCGGTCAATCTTTGATGTACATCCGGTATGATGACCGGCTGATCATCATACAGGCCCAAAACTGCGATGGGAGCGATCTCGGCTGTTGAGATGTAGTAGAAAAAACCCTCTAGTCTTCTGCTGCGGCGATGGGATGTCTGGGGAAGCAGGATGCTTCTTGGAGATGGCGGACTTCGTCCCCACCTCTCCACCACTCTAGCGGAACACCACAATGGGAGAGGAGTCGGCCAACAGCAGTAGACTGGCGAGGGGTTCCGTGTATCAGTCATACTAGACTCTGCATACGCGACCTATCTGCTGTCGTGCCAAGCGCAAAGTAAATATTAATAAAAAGGTAGAATTGGATAAATTAGTACCGCAACTGCAATGTGAATATAATAAACATGGCGCCGTACATCATATTAAAGGCGGATCAGCAGCATAAAAACGTAATCTGCAATAGTACAGAATTTTCATCAACGTAATCCACTGAAACAAACACGCGTCCATTGAATAAACTGTAGAAAAGCGACTAAATATCAATATATAATCGTTGAAGGATACCCAAGCTAAACCTCTATAGATGTCTATACGAGGTAACTAACTAAATATAATTCAAAGGATATAGTGTGTCGGGAGACACAGGCGCTCTCACGTCCAGCTCACTGGTCGAAGAAGGAGAGAGTGAGGCACATGGGTAGAGGTGGCGCCCTCGTTCCCACGCTTGTGGAAAGGAGGTAACTCGTGGTGAATACTAATTAGTGATTTTAAATTGAAGGGAGCTTCAGTTAGGGAGATACAAGTGTTCCACTATGTTCGCAAGAAGAAGAAGACAAGCAAAAAGAGCATGAGTCAGGATAAGGAAAAATTATTCCTTGTTATTAATGCTGTCAGAAAGCATGAATTTGGCATACTTGGCAGGTAAGACTTGTCGCAATCACAAGGAGATAGTGAACCCTGTGTGATGCCACAGTCAGTATTGCCACATCTGTGTATCCTTCACATGCTACCCAAATGAAGTTAGAGAATATTGGATCCTTTCATATTTCTACAGTTAGTCTGGCATGATGTAACAGTAAAACTACAGTAACATGGAAGAATCGAGTGTTGTTTTGGAACTTCTTGTTTGAGTAGTATATGGAATCTGGCCAAGTATGTGGTTGCAGTATCTACAATATGTGGTACTCTAACATACAGTTGAAAGGGCAGGTATGAGGGCATTGGGGGATTATGACGAGGGGCATATGACGAAGACGTAAAATGGAGTTTAACATCGTACTCAAGAATATTTCGCTCATATGACGTCGTGCATGCCTGTGTATGTGAGGCTGCTTGTACTAGCCCAGACTTAATCTGTTTTTATAGTGCTAGCTCACTGAGATACCATGCTACAGTTAAGCATGAATACCCCACTCAGACACATTATAATGACTCCAAGCCGACCAATCCTTGTTGTACCCATTAATGCCAAGCACCAGGCAGGGAACAAAAAGTACCATATTTTTACATCTTTTGGTATGACGACCTTCCACTCTCTTGGCGAACACTCAAACCACAACCCCACGAGGGCGGTCTATATAATGAGGAGATTTAATGTGCACAGGAATCATCTGTCCAAACTGGACTTGTGGGGACCTACAGTTTAGGATGATTCGATCAGTGAGATTTTAGCAAGAATCATGTCAATAACATAACTATAACTGCTCCATGTGCCATGAGATCTCACCTCCAGGAGTAATTGGCAAAAAACACCAATTAAAGCACTTTCAAATGAGACAAACTTCAAAGGTCACATGTGCTGTTACATGAGTTAGCATGACCTTATTTGGAACCACCCCATAATACACTGAAGATTGTAAATCAAAGCAGCTCTAACACTGAGTAAATTGTGTTAAAACATAATTCAAATTTGGGACATCTGTTACACAATTTTAGTCCAGAAGTGACAGAAGTCTTGATAAAGCAGACTTTACTTTATACATTAATGTATTAAATTAGGGACTGTAAACTTGATCCAGATTATTCAGTTTTGTGTTTATTATTCAGAATTTAGTTTTGACAGATCCCACTGTATGTGGGTAGAAAGATCATGAAGAGCAGTTTACGTATGCTGGATCCAGTCTGTCCAGAGTCCTTGTCCCCGAGACGACTGATGGGTTGACCAGAACCAATGTGAGAGTGGTGAGAGTGACTGTCCCTGGACTGAAACATACAGCACAGCTATAAGTCAACCTCTAATAAATACTGAAAGCACCGACACAAGCAGAGCCAGGCAGTATTTCATATGTTGAATTCAAAGTTCTATTCACATGAATGATATGATCTCTGCATCTCTTCTTGTTGATTCAGATTTGTCTCTGATTGTGGATTTAGACATCATAGGAAAGGTATCTAACATACCTTTGATATAGCATATCAGTAATGTTTTAGGCAGTCAACATGGTCAAAGGGAAATGACCCCAGTACTAAAACAACACTGTCGCTTTTATCAAAATGGGTCCTTAGGTCCTGCATGTTTGTAATACTAATCACAATATTTATAGCAGTGAATTACCTTATGGCATTTTACAAACAAATCAATCTGAAGCTCAAAGTTCACAGTTTCTCAGAAGAACTGTCCTTTTTTGTCATTAAAGTTGCATTAAAACTGAATGTTTTTTATGGCTTTGACACAGATTCTGCGTGAATTGTATTTAACCGTCTTTCACAGTATTCCAGTCATACATACATTGTGTTAGCATAATAAGGGTGGAAAGTGTGAAGCAGGTCCCGGACATTTACATTAGTGAAACCTGCAAGCGGTGAAGACAAACCTAGAAACATACGCCAACAGGGATTACATCCCACAAGTATGACTTACCCAAGGGAGGGATTTATTTGTTTGTTTAACAAGAAATAACGAACCTGAGCTAGGCATTCCAGTGATCAAAATCATGAACATCATTCTATGCATCGCGATGGAACTATCCAGAGCACATTGCTGCACATGACAAATTTACTTTCATGCTCATTCTAACCTACCCTCTAGCACATTCTGAATAGAAATGCAGCAATAGCACAGCATCTCATATCAGACAATGCATCACGGAATGGGGCTTAAGTGATGGTGATGTTACCTGTGACTTGTTGCCAAGGAGGGGCACTCCATTCTCCAGACGTAGTCGTCGCTGTTTCTCACAGTACTGCAGCCAGGTGTCCTCGTTGAAGCCGTAGTTGAAGTAGTCAGTGATGTCAGCACCTGGGAGATGACAACTCGCATTGTTAGTACATATATGTTTTGAGTAGTTACTGCAGTTTACAGCCTAAATCTTGCAGCTGAACATGGCTCTTCGCATCATTTTCAGTATTCTTAAATGGACAATTCTTAGCTGAACTATACCAAACAGAATTTTACACAACTGTGGAGATTGAAATAATACCATTTTGGACTCGTATATCTGATATTATTAACTTCATGCTGTATCAATATCAGAGTTCCGAGAAAGAAATTCTTACCAGGATTTCTCCAGGGTTTGTCTTCAGCTGAGAGATTGTCAATGTCAAACTCAAATGTAGGCACTCCATTGACAGTGCCCTGGGCTTCAAGGTCCATCCCTTTTCCTGGCACCACTGTCTTCTGTGCTGCTGCCACTCCTGCAATCAGAGTGCCATCCATGTGACATTGGGGATTTAAAAGCTAAGAAATTGTTCATCTTTTCAAAGAACTAAAGAAGGAATCACTCAAACAAGTGTGAGGAAACATTCAGAAAGATAACGAAGAAAGATAATTTAAGTGATGCTAATATCTACTCACCTGCTGCTGGCTTTTGGTAGCCAGTGGCACTCTTAAACAGGTTCCTGGGAGTTCTGACAACATATCAAACATATCATACATTAACAATGTACATACAACTGTAAAAAGTCTTGAAGAGAAAGGTGACTCTTATAACATTTTTGCTTTATCACTACATTGATTTCAGTCTCAAATTAAAAGAAGGCAAGATACTCGCAATATTGCCTTGGGTTTAACATAAAAAAAACCCCAAAATGCACAAAGAAATCAGGTAAAGTGTTTACATCAAGACCTAAGCTTAGCATTGGCATGGTAGTCTGTTGCCATGACAACCATCAGTAAAACAATTTTCTCTTCCATTGGCGGATACTAAATAAACCTGTATATCCTGCATCATACATAGAGTATTTAGCATTGATCTGTCATATTCATCCACAGCCATATTTCTTTTCAAAACCAACCAATTCTTACTTCTTCTTCACAAATAACATTGATTACAGCATACAATGACTTATCATTTCTTCCAGACATATATGTATGAATCAACAACAACTTACTCTGTGACAGTCCACTGTTTGATGTCGCCAATGGTGACTTGGACATTGTCGTCATCATCTGAATCGTCATCATCATTCTTTGCCTGAGCTTCTTCCTCCCCACTCTGAAATCACAGTTAAGGGTAGAACTAAAAGTGTTCATAAGTTATAAAAAGGGTTCCTAAGATATGAAATTCCAGGTCTATGGCCTAAAACCTCGGAGTCTCCTTATTTCAGATACAACCAGCATGTGAACCAACCATACTAACAACTCACCATCTCCCCTTCTTCCTTGTCTTCTGGTTTCTCAGACCCATCTCCGTCACCTTTCTTTTTCTTCTTCTGGCCATCTCTGCAACAAACACACAGATATCTCTTCATATATCTTAACCTATATTCAAAGTGAACGAGTTTAAGGCTTAGTGAGTTTGGTTAATCTCCACATTATTGTTTGAACAGCATATAGTCATCTATATGTGGAAGGAATACTCAGAGGAATGTCCGAAGACTCAGATGTAATATCACTTTAGCATTTGTTTAGTGAAAACTATGAACTATAAGTGTGCAAAGTTTACGCTGGTCCTGTGGTCCCTGGCTAGTAAAAATTCATTAGGACCACTAAATGATAAGTTTGCAGTGGTCCTGGTGGCCAGTAAATTTTGTATTGATAGTTAAGTAAATCTACGAATGTCAATTGGGACCAGTGAAGAAGACAGGATCACTCATTATTGTCTACTCACTGGTCCTGTGGTCTAGTGGAAAATTTTGAAAGGTTTCTCTCCATGCTGTCACCATTCTACAAAATAAAAGCATACTTACTTCTCTGGATCCTTCTGCTCTTTGTTTTCATCTGTGAAAAACATGAAGAAATTTAGACTCACTAAGTCTGTAATTGTATTCCTTCCAAAATACACTTCTATTTCATTCACCTGATGAAGGGGCAAGAAGTAGCTTAGAAACGTGTTGTAAATAATAAAGTAGTTGTAAATCCATACCATATGTTGTTATGTAAGAGTACCCATTATATTATTGCCATATATATATGCATACAAATATTTCCTTAGTTTCCAAATGATTCAACTTTTCCAAAGATCACTTTACCTGGTTCACTTGTTTACATTTTAATAATAGTGGAGATGGAGAATCAAACTCACTGCCAGCTTGAAGCTAGGCCAAACTGGTTACTTCAACTAACAAACACTCACCGAGAGGCAAAAACACTAACAAAAGGACCCCTTAACCCTAAGGGGTGCAGGCTAAAACGGAACCACAGCAAAACGGCACCAGGCGAAAACGGCCCCATTTGGACATAACGGAACCTTGACTTGGCGAGAACGGCTACAAATCTTATGGTGAAAACGGCATCAAATGGATTCCTAATTATTGGGAACATCTTATTTGTCATTAGATAATCTGAATACAGAATTTTGGAAGCCGTCTACTCTGCCGACAGTGATTGGAAAGTTTGTGTTAGCTGATAATCGGATTCCAGTATGTTTAGATAATGAATGAGTCTGACTGATAATCGGCTTGTAGAATGTTTCGATAGTCAAAACATCTACTGTGCCGAGATGATTGGAAAAGCCTGTAAATTTAGCGTGAAAACATCACAACCTTTGATGTTTTAAGTACATCATTAAGTAGTGTGTTAATCGACCTGTGTAATTGTGTCATTGTTATATATTCTGCAGGTGAAGGAAAATGCTGTTATCGTCTTTATTATAATCTTGTTATTTTAATGTAATGGGTGATTGAGTGAGTTATGATTTTACGCCGCTTTTAGCAATATTCCAGCTATATCGCGTGTTATAATCTTGCTAATGTTGAAATGAAATAAAAACCATAAGTCAACGTCATACTGTGTTTTTTATATGTTGATTCTAATGTTATAATTAAACGAACTAAAACATAAAAGTCAACATCATACTGTGTTTTGTATATGGTGCCGTTTTAGCTCAGAAATCAGTAGCCGTTTTCGCCAATACGGTGCCGTTTTAGCCACACGATTTTGGTGCCGTTCTGCTGTGGTGCCGTTTTAGCTATAACCCACCCTAAGAATTATAAAGTGATGCAGAACCAAAAGGATTGTAAAGAAGTGTTGGATTGGCAAGCGGTGCCGAGCTCTTTATGATCATGAACATCGTGAAGAGGTGCTTGATCCAAATGGGTACCAAACCCTTGTGATCAGGAATGACTAAGGATAGAGAAGGGGCAACCATTCCCAAGAAGGTTGAGAAACGAGTGGGTACGGGTTTCCAACAATTTGGTACTGTAGTGTCCGCCAAATGGTTTGGGCACGAATTTCTGAGGGCACGGATTGTCAAATTCCCTGTCTCATAACGGGGTGGTGCTTTTACTTACGATTGCAATCAAGAAACCAACAGAAAGGGTCTTTCCTACAACGAGCAATTGTTTCTCACACGGCACATTCAGCACGTTGTCTCTGATAATGCGTCGTACTCGAAGGTTTGTTTTGCTACCCAGCATGTCTATTTAAAAGTATTGGGTATAGGCCCCTGTGATAAATCGGACTCAAAGAAACGAACGACTATTATGTACTGGGCGTGTCATAGAAACTCGACACAAGTTTTCTTAAGATAACTTACCACCATAAAGCCATGTTTCATCGTCTTCGGCCGGTGCAGCGCCAGGCGCCGGTACTGCCGCAATATCGGCCATTTTGAAATTAATGGAACATTTACTTCCGTATCTTGGTGGAAACAATACCTTCTTTAGATTTATTATTGATATTGTCGTTATACGAATGACCTATCTACATAAAGTATATTTGTAACAATTTTGATAGTAAGCCATTGAAAGTTGACTCTTTATTTATGTCAATTGATTTACGAAACTTACCCTGAACATGTTTCTTTCATACGGGCATTGTCAAAATGGCCGCGTCCATGAACAGGTATTTGTGACGTCTCTTACTGACATGAACAATATGTTTCTTGCATATGTGTCTAACCACCAAAGTGTCATGGGTGAAAATTAACGGATTTGAGTTGTGCAATGTTTATACTGTCCAACTGTATATTTCCACCACGCGTTCCGTTGCCAGATATATGTTTAATATGGACGCAGTGTTTCGTGACATTCTCATCTCTGCAACACCTCTTTCGTCTCGTCGGTTTCATATCCTGTCATGGTCGTTATTGACTCTATCTCAATTCAGTTGAAAATGTGTATGCTAAGTGCAAACACATCTTTAACTGAACTGAGTAAGAGTTCCGCTCGTAACCACTCTGCAATATAGTGCAATATGCAAATGCATCAATATTACTTCGATGATTTTCTTATTTGACTATATATAGGTCCGTCTCCTATTCTCGCGGGTTTCCTATTCTCGCGGTAAATACGTTTTGGGAGTACTGCACTTTACCGGGCGCACTGTTTCAGATTAATTAGCGTTGCTGGGGTTCCCTAACCCTAACCCCTAACCCTAAGGATCGTAAAGGGTGCCTAACCCTAAGGATCGTAAAGGGTGGCATACCCTAACCCTAAACCTAAGGATCGTAAAGGGTGCCATACCCTAACCCTAAACCCTAACCCTAAGGATCGTAAAGGGAGCAGCGAGGGCTGCGCCGGGTAAAGTGCATTCTACCCTACGTTTTCTGCCGAAATCGCCGATGCGTGACACTTAGCGGTTGTTTACATCACCGACTGGTAACTAGGAAGTGGACCAAGTCGGTGAATAATCAAAATCTTGCAGTGTCACGAATATTGGGGAGTTTATACCAACTTGGACATATCATTACTTTTTCCCGCCCTTTCCGGCAGGATGACGCTTACATACACTCAATAACGTTAATTCCTCGTAATACCGCGAGAATAGGAGAAGCCTCATTTCGTCAATGGCGGATGGCATTGTTTATCACCGGGCTCACGAGTGGTAATTCACCTGATGGATCTGGCAGCTGATAGATGTAGATGATAGAGGAGAAGGCCCTTCATTTAAAAACAACAAGCATTCATACGATAAGAATTGTTTATGTTATTTTTTCAGCCGATATCCGTAAGTACCGCGAGAATAGGAAACGCCTTCCTAATGGTAATATTCCAACACACAATATTAATTCTCAAGCACGACGTTAAACCCAATTTCACCTCACCTCACACAATATTAATAAACGTGTCTAAACAGGCAATGTAAAGTTTCGGTATGAAGGCGTTTTCTATTCTCGTGGTACTTACGGATATCAGCTGAAAAAATAACACAAACAATTCTTATCGTATGAATGCTTGTAATTTTAAATGAAGGGCCTTCTCCTCTAACATCTGCATCTATCAGCAGCTAGATCCATCGGGTGAATTACCCCCTTGTGAGCCTGGTGATAAACAATGCCATCCGCCAATGACGACGTGAGGCTTCTCCCATTCTCGTGGTATGGCAAGGAAGTAACGTTATGGCGTGTATGGAAGAGCAATCCTGCAGGAAAGGGCAGGAAAAAGTTATGATATGTCCAAGTGGTTGTAAACTCACAAATATTTGTGATATTGCAAGATTTTGATCACTCACAGACTTTAGCCACTTCCTAGTTACCAGTCGGCAAGGTTAACGACTGCTCGATGTTGCGCATCGGCAGAAAATGCGAGAATAGGAGACAGAACTATACCTTTGAAGCCCATTTGCATGCATGAAATATATCATGTTATTTTTGTCTAAAGCCGACATATAGCTGGATTAATGCAGTGTGCAGCATAAAACTAAATTCACATTTTGTCTAAATTAGGTCTATCAATAATTTGGTGTTGTTCAGTGATCAAATTCATGAGCACAATGATTTCTAGATATGAATCATGACCTTGAACCTGCTTCACTATGATTACACTCTGAAACGTGGAAAACAATGCTACAATGTTGAAACTGAAAGTTTTGAAATGTGGATGGCTTTTCCTTCCTGGATCAAAGTTATAACGGTAGACTATAACTGCAACTGATTTGATTTGCATTTAGCACTGTTCTTGTCAGTTTGTGGGGTAAGTGAGTCTCTTTTCCATGTATTGATTATGCTGCTAAGTGGCACAAGTGTGATGACTGAGAGTTGGAGTATTGTTGCCCTTTAATTCAAATTACAAATGAGCACCGTTGTGTCGAACTCTGATAACTTGATATCTCGGTTGTAACGATATAAAATCTCGGTTCCGGCAAAATCCTTCATTATTTATCATTATTCAAGCTCTTTTAACTCGATATGGTTGTCTCGATATTTCAGATATCTCGGTATAATTTCATGGTCCCGACAAGCAAAATTACCCTTTTAACTTGATATTTGCAAGTGTCCCTCTGAACTGAGGTTGTTTCCACACGTTTACACACGGTGTGGCATGAATCAAAGGGATGCGGTAGTGTAAACTAATTAGGGCTAATTGAGTTGAAGGTGTCACTTGTTTGTTATGTAATTAGGATTAATTAAGAAGGAAAAAATTAGGAAGTACTCACTGTTACGACTAAACACAACTGATAACGGATTATAGTTTCGAATAAAAAAATACTGAGAAGCGTTTTGTTTTTCTTTCATAGTGATATGTGACGATATGCACTGCTTGGATGTCTCGAAGTTCGGATAACTCGATATTTTTTCTTGGTCCCATGAATATCGAGACAATGGTGCTCGACTGTAGTACCCCACTATTAACATGATATTTGTTATTTTCTTTCAAACTGCAGGCTTGCTGTGACATTGTGCAGATATGCTCAGAGAAAACTCTACTACCACAAACTGGGACCTGATCCCAGACTCACAATGGCCAGAAGCATATCCCACTGTCCCACCGAACCAGATGGTGCTAAACATCTATTAGAACAGAGATTATCCTATCAGTTGACATGCTTGGTAAAGCTAACACGACAGCTGTCTGGGACTTGTTGCTGTCAGGCCAAGAAGGCATCTGTACCTCAAGCTGACCTCAAAGTAGACAGTGAGGTCATGGTGTTTGACATGACAGGGATGCTTATTGGTAAGATGTCAATATCGCAAGCCGAGGAGATGGCAAACAAAGAGAGTCTGAAGCTTGTAGACATGGGACCCAATCAGGACAAAGTCCAGTGTTTTAAACTGATGACAGGGAAGGAGCTGCATAAAGAATCCATGAAAACCAAGTCTGTAAAATCAGGCCGGACAGATGAAAAGGAGTTTGTTATAACAGTAAAGATAACTGATCACGACCTGGGTATCAAACTGAAACATGTGCAGGAGACGTTGCAGAAAGGCAGGCATGTGAAGATCACTCTGAAAGAGAAGGGTAGAATGGAAGAGGTGATTGTCAGTTTTGAGAAATTTAATCTTTCTGTTTACATTATTTTCTATTTCTCAGCATATTATATATACATTCTGTTATGATAATTACCCTGAAATCATTTGCTGTGATAACTTTGCTTTGAGTCCAAAGCAAGTTAAGACAGTGCTAGAAACAGCATTCATGATTGACAGGCATTGAAATTCATGATTTCACTGATTCTTGACTTGCACTGTTACATGCAGTCTAACATACAACTGGCAACATCTTGTAGCATAGAACTTCATATCACAGTCCTACTGCTCATGAAACATCTTTTGAGAGTTGCTCTATTGTTTATGAGAGGTCTTTTTATATTTTGTCATGGGTTTATTAGTTATATTGTGAACTCACTTGTACAAGGTATCTGTAACTGTTGTTGAGAAAAGTTAACTTGTTTGATTATCAACATTTCAAAGAGAGTGACATTCTGAGTGAAAAGGGGGCCGTAATAGAAAGGATATATTGTCCACTGAATAACTGAAGACAGATTACAGTTTTAATTGTCTTAAAAGTACCATTCTGACGTGTCCAGATATAACTTTGGAAATTGATTATTTAAACAAATTTGATCATTTAATTATGATATGGTGATTGATTTTATTTGCAATTGTGCTTGAGATTATCATTCAGGGGTGGAAATAACCCATTGCCCAATGCCCGAATCCAGTGTTTTTTTCTGTCGGGCAAGCAAATTTGTATATCACACTGTACCGGTGTCCAGTTGACTTTCCAATATTAATTATGTTGTTTATTTTAAAAATCACTAAGAAATGGCCGGTATAGTGGAAAAATTATCAGGGCAAGTGATTTTACATGTGCCACTGTACTGGAGTACAATAGCAATTTTAAAGTTATTTCCACCCCTGTCATTGTCATAGTGTAACGTTTGAAAGTTCCATGGTGAAGTAAGAAATGTGCACATTGACACATGTTATAATCATGTGTTTGATGCTTCAGGCTGAGGTGAATCGCCTGCAGAGTCAGCTCCTGAGGAAGATATCTGATAGTGTGAACGAGATTGCTATTGTCAAAAATGCTGTCAGAACATCAAAGTTTTGCAAGGTTTCAATCATTCCCAAGGAGGATGCAAAACAAGATGTCTGATTCTGATCGAATCATGTAAAATATGACTTGAAGAAGAGGATACAGCCATGTTTATGATGAGGACAGTTGCTAATGCTACTAATCTTCAATGGGAAGTTGGGTAGCCTGGTGCTTTAAACATTTGTATGTTATGTTTAAAAGTGGGATCTTTTCCCAAAAATATCGGCGTTCCCTGTCGTTTGAAATACTACCAAGGGTGAAGCAGGACTATACTTGTTCACTCACTGCCATGTTATATTTTAAAGTATATATATTAGAAGCCAAATATAATATGACTAATACAGACTAAATCTTTATAAAATCTGTTTACATGCATACATCATCAATGTAACATGTTTCAGTACTGTTTGATGAGTATTGTGCATACAAAGCCAGTGAAGCAGTGATGGAAATACTTTGGATATAGCAAACCGATGAAGTAGTGATGAAAGAAATCACAATACCAATAAAGCCTGATAAATCCAGCTCATGTGGTTCAGTCAATCCATGCCAACAAGGCTGTAGATCATGGGAGTGTATTGTGCTCTTGTCAGCTGTACAAAGTCAACATTTGCCATCACTTGTATGGAACTATGGAAGAAAGTAGCACACAGATCTCTTACTGGTATAATGGTTCATATGTCTATACATCTCTCTTTAATGCCTTAAGAGTAGCGTGTGATCATGTTGTGTTGATTTACTTTGAAATTTTTAATAGTTGGGTTTAACCCAAATTTTGTATGTCACAATTGTGTAGATCGATGCTAATACTGTTGATCACTGGATTGTCTGGTTCAGACTTGATTATTTACAGACCGCCACCATATACTAGTAGCTGGAATATTGCAGAGTTTGGCGTTAAACAACAAACCAACAAACAATCAAATTGAATGAATAATTTTGTTTTGATGTTTTCAGCATTGACCCCTCAAAGTATATCTATATTGAAAGGAAAGTAACTCTAGAAGATAAAGAAAACAATTTGAGAATGTTTGTCCTGTCTACCTAACTAACCAATATTATTTGGAGATGACAACCAGAATAAAGTAGCTTTTCCTATGTTATATAGATTTTTATGCTTTAAAAAGTTAGTCCAGGAGGACAAAAGAACCTCTTTGCTTCTATATTATAAGCTTGTACCTGCTGTGCTATGTTAGAGATGTGCTATGTTTATCCATGCTGACGCAATGAATATCTTGCATTAAAAGTTGTATATGCAGCATAATTCTTTCCCTTCATACTTTTTTAAAAAAGAAATTTATTTTTCATGTTGGAAGCTGTTTACAGAAAAGGGAAATTCAAGGTGCTATTTTCTGAAGGAGCAGTTAATAATACTGGATAGAATCCTCAATTCTGTAAGCAAGTTACCTTCAGACATTTCAAACCCAAAGGAACTTGACTTCTTTGTAAAAGTGTTGACATTTTGAAAGAGAAATACATGTTTCATAATGTTGTGGCACATCTTCTTCACTTCTCCCTCTCCAAATTGAAAGAAATAAATTTGTATCAACACCAATGTTTTGAAATGCTTACTTATTTTAATAGAAAGTATTTAGTTCCTCGCTATGGCTTTTAAAACTTGATGGGACTAATATCAGAATTTGCATGTTGTTAGAGTGTCTGCTGAAAGTATTACCGTACCCTTTTCTCATGTCTCAAATTACCAGTGTTTTAATGCCATGGTTTGAAATATGTGGACAAATTCTGTTTCTACCTTCCTTAACTAGAAGGGGTGGTGGGGGTAGCCTTGTGGTTAATGGTTAAAACATTCATTTACTGGAGAGAAACACATAACGGAATCATATTGTCAACCTGTATGCATGTCTTTTAGTGTCATGGTTGTTTTAATATGTTGACTGCATATGGATGTACTTTTGAGAAAATGAAATCTGAGTATGTTGGGATCAGTTAGAAACGAGAAAATTTATGTATATTGAAAGTGGTTACAAGTGATACCTGACAATTCATACGAAGTGCTGTTTTAGGGTTTGTAGAGAGACAAATAGTGAGATGTGGATGTGTTGTTTCAGTGTGTGAATTCCTTAGTTTCATGGATGAGGAAGTGTGTGGGGACTTATCTCATGTGCAAGATGTAAAGCTATTTGATTGATGTGTGTTGAAATGTATGGACATTTCTACAATTAAAGATATTTTTTACTAGATTTATCATGATGTTCGATGTCATTGTTGAATTTCAGCTAGGGATTCTGACATTAAAATTTTCGTCCTCAGAATAATAAGGAAGATCAAGTTACAAGGGACATGTTCAGGTTAATAGTGTGTTGGGATGTTGCCTATAATATCGAACAATGGTTTGTCTGGTTCAGACTCGATTAGTTGCAGACCGATGCCACCCAAAGTAGTATTAAACAGCTCTAAAAACAACAGTCAAAACCGCACCAAGTCCTACTGTGTTATATTTGTAATATTGCTGATATTGACATAAAGACCATACACTTCCTCAAAACTGATGGTCTTTAGAAAAGGAAGACAAAAGATGATAGCAAACACTGAAAATATTTATTCACAAAATAGAAAAATCATGCTTTATCATTTGGAAATGGTATTAAATCATACACGAATACACTGATATTATGGCTAAAATGTTCTCCATTGTTGGAATTTGATTTTGTAGCAAAATAATGCTGAGGAATGCGGTGAGGATCATGTTATAGTAATCGTCCCCAGTCTGGAGTCATCTCCATGCTATAACATTTAAGCCACATGACCAGTCACTTGACATCGGATAGTTTTGATTGGAGGAGCAGGTTTGATACAACTGATGATGTTTCATCCTTCCATACCTTGCACTCATGTTGTAGTCGTTAATACGCCTTGTTTTAATACTTCACTAGATATGTGTTGCAGCCAAAACAAAAAAAGGCTTATCTCACTACATATATTATCTGTACAATTATTGTTTCTAAGGCAACTTAAGACAAAACTATATACAATGTATTATTAAAAATAATATGAAAATGTATATCCTGGATTCTCCAAGACTGACCCATTTGAAAATTTAATACTGTAATATCAATAGGCACCAAAACATTTTCCCAAAATCTTGCACTACGAATCATCTTGACCGTTCTTTGAGTGGTTTTGTGCCTGTAATAGCCCAGAAAATCTGGAACAATTTTTAATAGTGGTTAGAAATCATTATAAGTAAAAAGATATGTATTTTTACTCTATTTTTTCCCCTGTTATTGTTGAGAACTGGTTTTATCACCATTTATACCCTCTGCTTATAAACAAAAAATGTTAGGTTTACTGCAACAGAGAAGCACAATACTGAGCAATATTAAGCAACAACCTTCGAAAATCAATCCTCCATGAAATATATATTTGCCTACAGCATGGTGGGATAATACAGGATGCACTTAGATTCAGCATCGGGGCCACATGGGGAGAAAGTGTGGATATGAGTAGGCTGTTGCTTAATTAATGACCATCAGTACATCCATCAGCAGACAAATATGTTATTAACACGCAGGTGCTGCAATATCTATTCTACTGCATCATAGCATATTTCATGGCAAAGGCAGATATACATATGCTTTACATCTTGGCACAATGTGGAGGTATTCTTAAGGTAGGAGATAACATGCTAGAGGCATACCTTTGGCTGTGATAACCTAGCTCAATGAGAAGGAATTCCTCGGGCGGGTGATAACATGCACTTAGCACTAGAGGCATACCTTCAGCTGTGATAACTAGCTCTATGAGAAGGTATTCCTCGGGTGGGTGATAACATGCACTGAGCACTAGAGGCATACCTTCGGCTGTGATAACCTAGCTCTATGAGTAGGCATTCCTCAGGTGGGTGATAGCATGCACTGAGCACTGATATACCTTCGGCTGTGATAACCTAGCTCTATGAGAAGGTATTCCTCAGGTGGGTGGTAACATGCACAGAGCACTATATAGAGGTATACCTCAGGTGGTGACAACCTAGCTTGTGTGGAGGTATTTTTCAGGTGGGTGGTAACATGCGCATCAGAGCACTATATAGAGGTATACCTCAGGTGGTGATAACCTAGTTTGTATGGAGGTATTCCTCAGGTAGGTGATAACATGCACAGAGCTCTTTATAGAGATATACCTCAGGTGGTGATAACCTAGCTTGTGTGGAGGTATTCCTCAGGTTGGTGGTAACATGCACAGAGCACTATATAGAGATATACCTCAGGTGGTGATAACCTAGTTTGTGTGGAGGTATTCCTCAGGTGGGTGATAACATGCACAGAGCACTATATAGAGATATACCTCAGGTGGTGATAACCTAGTTTGTGTAGAGGTATTCCTCAGGTGGGTGGTAACATGCACAGAGCGCTTTATAGAGATATACCTCAGGTGGTGATAACCTAGTTTGTGTGGAGGTATTCCTCAGGTGGGTGATAACATGCACAGAGCACTTTATAGAGCTATACCTCAGGTGGTGATAACCTAGTTTGTGTGGAGGTATTCCTCAGGTGGGTGGTAACATGCAGAGCGCTATATAGAGATATACCTCAGGTGGTGATAACCTAGCTTGTGTGGAGGTATTTTTCAGGTGGGTGGTAACATGCACAGAGCACTATATAGAGATATACCTCAGGTGGTGATAACCTAGTTTGTGTGGAGGTATTCTTCAGGTGGGTGATAACATGCACAGAGCACTACATAGAGGTATACCTCAGGTGGTGATAACCTAGCTTGTGTGGAGGTATTCCTCAGGTGGGTGGTAACATGCACAGAGCACTATATAGAGATATACCTCAGGTGGTGATAACCTAGCTTGTGTGGAGGTATTCCTCAGGTGGGTGGTAATAGCACAGAGCACTATATAGAGATATACCTCAGGTGGTGATAACCTAGCTTGTGTGGAGGTATTCCTCAGGTGGGTGGTAATAGCACAGAGCACTATATAGAGATATACCTCAGGTGGTGATAACCTAGCTTGTGTGGAGGTATTCTTCAGGTGGGTGATAACCATGGGCACTATATTGAGGTAAAATGGTCACCTCAGATGGTGATAACATAGCTCTATGAGAAGCTATTCCTCAAGTTGTGGATGACATGCACTGAGCTCAACACAGAGGTATACAACATGTGGTGATAACCATGGGCACTATCTTGAGGTAAAATGTACACCTCAGATGGTAATAACACAGCTCTGTGTGAAGCTATTCCTCAAGTTGTGGATAACATGGTTATAATCCTGGGCACTATATATAGGTACAGTGTATACCTCAGGTGGAGATAACATAACATCTATTATGTGGAGATGTGTTGTGAGTAATAATTACAGGTATTGTACACAGGTATACTCACATGCATGATATAATAGTACAAAGAGAAGATATTGCTCATCTGTGTGATAAACATCAGCACTTTTGAGAGATATCCTCAGGTGTGTCATAACACTTGCCTTTTAAAGGACCCATGCCTAAGGTGTATGATAACAATGGGTGTTATCAATAACTATACCACTGGTGAGTGATGATCATAGGTGTTATTTACAGGTATAACCCAGCAGTGAGGAACATGAGTTATATAAGGAAGTACACTTTTAATAGGCGACAAGACTGAGTGTTGTGGAAAGGTATACCTTCAGTGTGTGTTAAACATGGGTGTTATAAAGAGTTATATCCCCGGTAATTGATAACCACACAAACACTCGACACTCTAGTGGACAACCCCATGTGAAAGAAAACCAATGGGTACTAAATGTAGGTTATCCTCTATGGGTGAAAATTATAAGACAGTCATCAGATGACAATGAATGGTGAATAAGTTACATTTCTGTGTCTACAGTGCAAGTACAAATGTTAGCAATTAAAAATGTTTAGATCAGACTTCCCACCATTCAATAACATTATATGTAATATAATATTTAAAAAACACACTTCTTGCCAAATGTGCAGAATTTCCATTTGAAATCATAAAAATAGGTCCTCGCACTTAAATTTCTGCAGGCACATTTGTTTTTGGTAAAGCATAGTTTTGAGGATTATTACCAATCATTTATGATGAAACAAATTCTAACTGTTACCTACTCTCATCACCAGGTTGACTCACCAACTTCTAGAGTTAACTATGTCGAGGTTTCATAAAAGCAAAAGTGTTCATTAGGGAGAAACCATTGGATTCTCATGGGGGATTGGGAAGTAGCTATGACTTTTGTTTGAGATCAGCACTATTATTTAATGTCTTGGAACTCAATTATTTTCTCCAACATGAACAGGTTATGATGTTGAATGTTTCATTATTTGAATTAAAAAAAGTAACAAACATAATTCTTTGGAGTCACTGTTTGCAATGAAAAGGGCACATTATTTTTATTTCTTACAATGCGAGACATATGTAATTTGTTTTCAGACATACAGAGGATGTTTTAGCAATTTGGATGTCATGTACTTAAAGCAGATACTCGTCAGGTCTGGGGGGTGTCCTAAAGAATCCATTACCTCTTCCACATCTCTCTGTACAAAATTACTGTTAAAAAAGCACCACAGTGAGGACTGAAGGGCACATGCTGTTATTTTTCATTGTTGTGAACAAAAACTCAAAAAGGCAAGTGAAATTCATAAATAAGAACATAGCACTAAAAGCAATGCAAGTACAGAACTCAACAATATAATATCCAGTATTTCACTTTTTAAATCCTACACTGAGACAAACACAATTAATTTGAATTTAAACTGACAATTAACTCACTTTGACAAATATAACGTTCTGGAGGTGCCAATGAATAAAGTAGGGTGTATATATACTATGTCTGGGTTTTAAATATTAAGGCTGAACATTTTAACTTTGTAAAACTTGGAGTCAAGGTAGAATGGATGACCCAATTTGGACTCGCATCCACAAACACAAAATGCTCATATATCACATCAAAACATGCTATGTATTGCGTGGAATAGCATTGAAGCTCCGACAACACAACATCAACAGGAAGCTCTGAAGTTTAATAAACTGAGAACATTTGGAAAATTAATATCAATTTCTTACATAAAATTACATTTCCCTGCAGGTTTAGTGCTATTTTACCTAAATTATGACAAGTTGTCATCTGTGTCATTGTATAGGGACACCATGACCCCGTGACTATGGAAATCCTCGCGGGAATCATCCAGAACTCCATTTTATGGTCAGAACAGCGCTGCTAGTCTTTGTGTATTTAAATAACTACATTAAAAATAGGCTTGGAAATTTCAGTAGGTCAAAGCAAATTTGTCAATAATTTTTAAACTTAAACAAAATAGAACATTCTTTGAATTTTAAACACAACTAGCCATTCTGCATCTATTTCAGTTAACAAGAGGACACCACAGTTCACTGTATTAAAATGGGCATGAACATGTATGACCTTGTATTACCATGGGCATGAACATGTATGACCTTGTATTACCATGGGCATGAACATGTATGACCTTGTATTACCATGGGCATGAACATACTAGTCACGCCACCTGATTTGGAATGATATAGTAAATTTATAAAAAATATAATCCTTCTGCCTCAAAATATATGGTCAAGAACCTTTTTACCATATACAGTCAAATTCTGATGAGTCGAATGCCGGTGTCTCGAATATTATGCATAACTCGAAGTACCTGTCGGTCCCGACCATTCCCTGTTACAGTTGTCATCATTTGATTTCCGGTTACACGAATTCGACTCATAAATACACACAATGACTCGAAAAGGAACTTTGGTCCCATGAGATTCAAACAACAGCAATCTTGTATACATAAGCCGAAGTCAGTCAATGAGAAGTTGATTGGTGTAGCAAACTGATCCAATTAACAAACCAGCTCGGCTCACACCTTTCCGCCATTGACGGGTGAGTTCAAAAGGCAGATTAGTGATTTTACGGAAATCACTGTCTGTGCTAATCAGACTGTAACTGATAAGGTGCCCCTATTAGTGATATGGAAATCATTAGATAAACAAATGCTTCGGCGGAGGAATTAGGACTGGATCATCTTTTCTACCCTCACAGACATACCCATGTCTCGAATACATCGATAAGTCGAATTTATTACTTGGTCCCTAGCGATTCGACTCATCGGGATTTGACTCTATTTATCATTGTCCAATCTATATGCTATATGTCCACTAAAGTATGCTTCATCTAAGACAGATTTGTTAATATTGATCAAAAAGCCAAACCAACCTATAAAGATTGTTCTTTAAATAAAACTTGAATTGGCCATGCAGAAAATAACTACAAATTACCAATATTGCATATCGTATATATAAATACATATTCAATGAAAATATTGAACATTGAACCTTTATGTAAGGCTTAACACCTGAGCAACAGATACCATATCCAGGGAAAAGCTTATAAGTTCGTTGCCTAGTAACCATAACCATGACAACAGCTAAATACCAATGAGCAGACAACAGTTCAGCTGCATAATACTTGTGTGGTTTTGCTTACTGACTAAGCTTGGCTTGTGAACAAGCACTATACATGCTTATGAAATTCAAATTTCTACATGCTCATTGTCATCTCCATACTGAATTTTATCTCCAGGGATGTCAAAGCTGAACATCAACACGCTGGGTGTTCAGACATTGCCTCCTTAAACTAGTTCAGTTAATGGCTGAGTTACGTTGTGGGCTTGTCTAGAGTCAGCAGTAACACTATTGTTGCCAGATGTTGGGACATTACACCAGGGGGTAGTCCCCACCGTCAGCTAGGCCACTCAGTCGTCGATGTAACTCAGTAAAACCTGGTCGGCGTTCAGGTTTCTGAAAAGGACATTATTTTTATTATGTCTTCAGAAAACATTTTTTGATTCATGAAGCTTAAAGTTTGAAAGTAATCTCCCTTGAAGATCTGAGTTAGTATTGGTCTTTAGCAACACATGCTATTGTATTCCCATCGATGCTCATACTGTTATAACTGGATTGTCTGGTCCAGACTCGATTATTTACAGACTGCTGCCATATACCTGGAATTTTGCTTAGTGCGGCATTAAATAACAAACTCAAACAAAATAAAATGTAATCATGGTAAACTGGGATTTGATCTCATGATAACATAATTCTGGCACCTCTAAGAGATGGGCCTCAGGTGACTGGTAATCTGTGCACACAACATTGTATAGTATAGTTATAATCACTACTATCTATAATAATACCCGAGAAGATCCGGGTTAGAATTTATCTTCAGTAACCCATGCTTGTCGTATGAGCCAACTAATGGGATCGGGTGGTCAGGCTTGCTGACTTGGTTGACATATGTCATCGTATCCCAATTGCATAGATCGATGCTCATGATTTAATCTTATCCAGACTCGATTATTTGCAGACCGCTGCCATATAGCTGGAAAACTGCTGAGTGTGGCATTACACAGCAACCAACCAACCAACCAACCAACCATCTATAACAGACATACCGCTTCCCAGCACTGCATCATGACCTTGAACATGAGTTCTGGGCACATCATAGGTTTCTGTAGGCGGCGGTTGGAGGTGATGACGTAGTCCACCACGTCAAGGTTCTTCATGCCGCTGTACGGCATCTCACCACCGCTAAACACCTCCCACATCAACACACCTGGAACACAGTATGAACAGATGATTCAGGTACATCTGTGAAGTAACACATATTCAATCGCTTCAAATACATCTCTAAAATGACACATATATGATTCAGTCTAACACATCAATTCAAATACATCTTTAAAATGACACATACTGATTCAGCCTAGCACATATCACATGTTTCAAATACATCTGTAAAGTGCCACATACAGTATTGGTTCAGCCTAGTGCATGTCACATCGCTTCTGTAATATCACACATAGTTAATTCAGCCAAATCATATCACTAAGATAAATACCAAGGTTCAATGATACATGAGGGAACTATTTCAGCCTGTGTCATCACTAAACATACAGCAAGAGAGAGCTCCACAACATACCGAAAGCCCAGACATCGGACTTGCTGCTGAAGCGGGTGTAGCTCAGGACTTCTGGGGGAGCCCACTTAACTGGAAACTTGGTCCCTGCTGAACTGGTGTACTCATCGTCAATGACAACAGAGGGTCATCATCAATGATCTGACAACAGAGGGTCATCATCAATGACATATCTGACAACAGAGGTCATCATCAATGACATATCTGACAACAGAGGGTCATCATCAATGATCTGATATAGGGTCATCGATGAACAGACAACATAGGTCATCATCAATGACGATCTGACAACAGAGGGTCATCATCAATGACATATCAGACATATCATCATCAGTGACATATCTGACAACAGAGGTCATCATCAATGACATATCTGACAACAGAGGGTCATCATCAATGAAAGGGTCATCATTGATGATCATCATCAATGACAGAAAACAGAGGCTCATCATCAATGACATATCTGACAACAGAGGGTCATCATCAATGACATATCTGACAACAGAGGGTCATCATCAGTGACATATCTGACAACAGAGGGTCATCATCAATGACATATCTGACAACAGAGGGTCATCATCAATGACATATCTGACAACAGAGGGTCATCATCAATGACATCTGACAACAGAGGGTCATCATCAATGACGTATCTGACAACAGAGGGTCATCATCAATGACATATCTGACAACAGAGGGTCATCATCAATGAGGTATCTGACAACAGAGGGTCATCATCAATGACATATCTGACAACAGAGGGTCATCATCAATGACATATCTGACAACAGAGGGTCATCATCAATGATGTATCTGACAACAGAGGGTCATCATCAATTTCACACCTGTTGATCAGCTTGTACATGACACACCATCCACCAGCCAGGCCATACAGTGTGACCACCCAATCCCCAATATAACTGGTTCTTTAGTCCAGTTTCGGTTTAATTTTTCTTGAATGGAGATTGATATAGGTGAGGTGAAATGGGGTTTAAAGTCATAAGAATACTGTGTGTGTATGTGTGGCTGCTTGTACTAGCCCAGACTTAAGCTGGTTTTATAGCGCTAGCTCACTGAGATACCATGCCGCAATGATGCATGAATACCCCACTCAGACACATCATATTGATTCCGAGCCGACCAGTCTTTGTTGTACCCATTAATGCCGAGCGCCAGGCTGGGACCAACAAGTACCATATTTTAACGTCTTTTGTTATGACGCGGGCTGGGGATCGAACCCACGACCTTCAGCTCACCGGGCGGACGCTCTAACCACTACACCACGGAGGTGGTCGAAAATTGATATACATCCAAAATAAGTGACAATGCCACATGTGGCCCACCATATTGAACTTGTTGGAAATACTATCAGTCGTTAAATACCCTTGATAGCATTTAGAAACCTACAACCTCTTTAACCTGCTCACCTGGCTAAACCAAAATCGGCTACTTTGACTACATGGTCCTGTCCGACGAGGCAGTTCCTGGCGGCAAGATCTCGATGGATGAACTTGCGTTGTTCCAGGTAGCACATGCCCTTACACACCTGTATACAAAACTCCAGCAGGGTCATGGGCTGCTGCAGCAGGCGGTTCTTGTGACGGGCCAGGTAGTTGTTCAGTGCACCTGCAGACAGTGTACCTCAGTAAACAGGTGGTGTAAAGTACTCTTGATAAACAAAACAGTCAGGGATGAGTATAGTGTAAGAACAAAATAGACAGGGGACAAAAGACTTAGGGAAGAGAACAGACTGGGGACAGATGACTTATGGAACAGAACAGACAGACGACAGATGACTTAGGCCAGCCAATATAGATACCAATGCCCAGGTAAACACAGATACCCACCATAACGCATGAGCTCCACCACAATCATGATAGGTTTGGCCTTGGTCACGACGCCATACAGCTGCACCAAATTGGGATGGTTCAGTTGGCTGCAGGAGAACAAACAGTGCTTACTGACACAATTATAATATCAGCTTGTACAAACAGAAGGAGACTTCATCATTTGTCTATGCATTAGTGGTAGTACTGAATATTGCTGGCATAAAACATAACATAATGATATGTGATTTCTGAAATATATGTATCTGTCAGCTAGGCTTCATTAACATCTGTATCAAACTATGACCAGAGTGCTACTCAACCTCCCATGTAACGACTTACAACCTAACCCAAAGACAACTCTGGGGTACTAAGGACTTCTGGCATCCTCCTTAAAGGTCACATGCAACCAAAAAAACAAACATAATTAAAACACAATTATCACTTATGCATGACATATAATATACATTGCTGATTATGAAAAAGCAAATAAACAAAATTATAAGCGTACAATCGCAAATCAAAAGTGCAAGCTGAGCAATTTTTAACAAAGAAATTAGTATTTCTAATGCTACACTTTCTTGAAAACTTCTGCCAACCCCCAAAAAGCAAGATGGCAAAACATATAAGAAAAAGTATGGGACCAGTGTATTTTTATTACTGCAGACCACAGATGCTTGAACATGTACACCACTTTGTCATTTTCTGTCAGACAAATAAAAAATCGTGAGAGTAAGAGAAGGGATGGACATTGTATGGACCTCCCACCGAAGTGTGTAAGTCCATAGCGAAAGGTATCAGAATCTGCAAAGTTTTGTGTTGCATGTGATCTTTAAGAAAACTTGATTGAACTTACGTCATTGTTTTTGCTTCCTCTACAAATGACTCCTCCGACATGGTGCCACATTTCATGACTTTAACTGCCACAGGCTTGTTCCTCCATTTGCCACGGTTGACACTCTGAATAACATGATGAGGAATTCAAAGAATCCCCTTTAGTTAAATCTTAATAACATAGTAGTGAAATTAGAAGAGAACACAATCTGCCACAAGCTCAAAATTCAAATATGAGACTCGTAATCATATAATATCAAAGGAAGTATTTGCTTCATTATCCCAAGGCGCAGACAGATATAAGGAGGAAAGTTAAACTGTTGCACTGTCCAGCTTATTATTGGATATGTAAGTATTCAGCTGGAACCACCAAGCCGGGACCAGTTCACTCACACATATATAAAGGCTAGTGCTAACTCAGGCCATGGTTACCTCCCTTACATCTTACCCTGGCCCGCAGAAGTGAAACTAGACAGTGTTTTTACTCGTAAAAACAGATGTCTCCCCCTTCCGCCAATTGAACGTTGAGACCTCAACGAATTTATTTGATTCCTTCCATTTCAAAATTTCTACCTTCAAAAAGACCAAGTCCAAATGTGTTGCCATTGAAACAGAAAAAAATAATAAATTGAAAGAAAAGTTCAAACCCCCAAAAGGCACATCTTCATGATATGGAGAGGCAGTAAAGCAAATTTGGTGAAGATGGGTCAATTAGTATCAGAATTACGCTCCGGAAACGAACTTTACCCTTCAAAAAAGACAAAGTCCAAATTGTTGCCATGAAAACAGAAAAATATGAAATTGAAAAAAACAACCCACAAACCCCCATAACACATCTACATGATATGGAGAGTCAGTATAGCAAATTTGGTCAAGATTGTTCAAGTAGTTTTAGAGTTATGTTCCGGAAACAGTGGGAACACTGACGCTGACGAAACTCAACCAAAAACAATATGTCTCCCCATAGGACCCAGTTCAAATTGGTTGTTCTGTATGTGCATGTGTTTTAGAGGGGTGAGTGATACAATAAATGATTGATTAGATACTGTATTTGATGAGATTATTATTTTGTCCCCAATTTGTACAGCTTGTTGGTGCCTGCTGCCCATGATTTGACTCCAATTCAAGATCATTTGTGTTTCTGTTTGAATGTCTCGGTGATCATAGTTGACAGTGGGTTAGTGTGAAATCTGGGGGTGGACACAGGCTGATATTTGTTGTTTTAATTGACAATTAGTAGGTTGGTGAGCATGGAACAGGAGAACAGCCAACGACTGACAATCATGAGGCTGACATGTCACTGGTAACTGTATATAGCAAAGCAGGAATATGACTGTGGTCTGAGGCCAGCTGGGTGACTGGTGTAAGGGAGATAACTCTAACAAGTATGTCAAGATGGTGCATGTGTACAATATTTAGCAATGAGTAAGTGAACAATGTATGGGATATTGAGAATGTAGTTTTTGTTGTTGGCATAGGAATAGCAGTTAGAAGTGAATGACCTTTTCAGTCTCTGAACAGTAAGTGATGGCTTGATCATATTGTTGACACAAGCCAACAATAGTTATAAGGTCATCATTGATGGCGATACTATTTCCATTTGATGGATGCAGCTGAGGATGTTACTTTGTGAAGAACAAAAGATACATGTGGGGATAAGGAGGTACTGGTGATTTTATTTGGAGTGAGTGAGTTTAGTTTTACGCCGCTGTTAGCAATATTCCAGCAATATCACGGCGGGGGACACCAGAAATGGGCTTCACACATTGTACCCATGTGGGGAATCGAACCCGGGTCTTCGGCGTGACGAGCGAACGCCGTAACCACTAGGCTACCCCATCGCCCCGATTTTATTTGGAAAGCGATCTATACCATATAAGTCAGATAACTAGATATGAAATACACAATGCCATTTAGAAAGTGATCAAATGTAACATATGTTATATTCGGGATTACACTTTCTTAGTAAAGTACAGAGTCTAGTACTTTTGTTGGATTGAGTCCCACACCCTCAGAGTCAGGCACCTAATCGCCAGCACACAAAGTCAGACGCCTAGACCGCTCAGCCAGTTGACTACCAGTTGTCCGAATTCCATTTTTGTGGAACCGCGGTGGCAGAGCGGTCTAGGCGTCTGACTTTGTGTGCTGGCGATTAGGTGCCTGACTCTGAGGGTGTGGGTTCGAATCCCAGATGGGACTCAACCCAACAAAAGTACTAGACTCTGTACTTTACTAAAAAAATGTAATCCCAAATATAACATATGTGACAGATAACTAGATGTTTTAAGAAAGAACTTGACATTGCTAAGAAGAGTAATACAACTAGCTTGGTGCTTACCCCAAAACATCCTGAGCCCAACTGTTCCCCAGTCTCCAGGTCGTCTGGGTCGATCTCCCACTTGCCTGCAAGGAGGACAACACACACATGACAACACTCAGAGAACGGCCTGTTGTTAGAGGGTGCAAAGGAGTGATTGTATGTCAGATACATGTGTGAGGAAGCCCAAATGATGTAGAGAGTGGGCAAAACTGTTTTGCCAAATAATTACACTCCTTCGAAAAATAACCACCCAATCAACACAGTCAAACACTGTGACCAGTCGAGTTCACACGTTGAAACTACACAATCAAACAGTTCACACATTGTAACCACACAATCAACCAGGTCACACATTGTAACATCACAATCAGCCAGGTCACACAATGTAACCTCACAATCAGCCAGGTCACACACTGTAACCAAACAATCAACCAGGTCACACACTGTAACCTCACAATCAACCAGTTCACACACTGTAACCTCACAATCAACCAGGTCACACACTTGTAACCTCACAATCAACCAGGTCACACACTGTAACCTCACAATCAACCAGGTCACACACTGTAACCTCACAATCAACCAGGTCACACTGCTTAACACAATCAGCCAGGTCACACACTGTAACCCCACAATCAACCAGTTCAGTAACCCCAATCAACCAGTTCACACGCGTAAACCTCACAATCAGCCAGGTCACACTGTAACCTCACAATCAACCAGGTCACACATTGTAACCTCACAATCAACCAGATCACACATTGTAACCTCACAATCAACCAGGTCACACACACTGTAACCTCATAATCAACCAGGTCACACGCTGTAACCACACAATCAGCCAGATCACACACTGTAACCTCACAATCAACCAGTTCACGCACTGTAACCTCACAATCAACCAGGTCACACATTGTAACCTCACAATCAACCAGTTCACACACTGTAACCTCACAATCAACCAGGTCGCACATTGTAACCTCACAATCAACCAGGTCACACACTGTAACCTCAACAATCAACCAGGTCACACATTGTAACCACACAATCAGCAGATCACGCACTGTAACCTCACAATCAACCAGATCACACACCAAACCTCACAATCAACCAGTTCACACACTGTAACCTCACAATCAGCCAGGTCACACATTGTAACCTCACAATCAACCAGGTCACAATAACCTCACAATCAACCAGGTCACACACACTGTAACCCCACAATCAGCCAGGTCACACACTGTAACCTCACAATCAACCAGTTCACACAACTGTAACCTCACAATCAGCCAGATCACACATTGTAACACACAATCAACCAGGTCACACACTGTAACCCACAATCAGCCAGATCACACACTGTAACCTCACAATCAACCAGGTCAACTGTAACCTCACAATCAACCAGGTCACACACTGTAACCCCACAATCAGCCAGATCACACACTGTAACCTCACAATCAACCAGGTCACACACTGTAACCCCACAATCAGCCAGATCACACTGTAACCCACAATCAACCAGGTCACACACTGTAACCTCACAATCAACCAGGTCACACACTGTAACCATTACAATCAACCAGGTCACACAACCTCACAATCAACCAGGTCACACATTGTAACCACACAATCAACCAGGTCACACATTGTAACCTCACAATCAACCAGGTCACACACTGTAACCTCACAATCAACCAGGTCACACACTGTAACCTCACAATCAACCAGGTCACACACTGTAACCTCACAATCAACCAGGTCACACACTGTAACCTCACAATCAACCAGGTCACACACTGTAACCACACAATCAACCAGGTCACACACTGTAACCTCACAATCAACCAGGTCACACACTGTAACCTCACAATCAACCAGATCACACACTGTAACCTCACAATCAACCAGGTCACACATTGTAACCACACAATCAACCAGGTCACACACTGTAACCACACAATCAACCAGGTCACACACTGTAACCACACAATCAACCAGATCACACACTGTAACCTCACAATCAACCAGGTCACACACTGTAACCTCACAATCAACCAGGTCACACACTGTAACCTCACAATCAACCAGGTCACACACTGTAACCACACAATCAACCAGGTCACACACTGTAACCTCACAATCAACCAGGTCACACACTGTAACCACACAATCAACCAGGTCACACATTGTAACCACACAATCAACCAGATCACACATTGTAACCACACAATCAACCAGATCACACATTGTAACCACACAATCAACCAGGTCACACATTGTAACCACACAATCAACCAGGTCACACACTGTAACCTCACAATCAACCAGGTCACACATTGTAACCGCACAATCAGCCAGGTCACACACTGTAACCTCACAATCAGCCAGATCACACACTGTAACCGCACAATCAGCCAGGTCACACACTGTAACCAAACAATACACCAGGTCACACACTGTAACCTCAAAATCAAACAGGTCACACACTGTAACCTCACAATCAAACAGTACACACACTGTAACCACACAATCAACCAGGTCACACATTGTAACCACACACTCATCTTTCCTTACATCAAGCTTGGTATGTCTAAGAGCATCAGTGAAACTTGGTTGATACCACCAACTATCTTGCCTGTTAGTCCCAGACAAGTGTGGCAGAGACAGTTTCCACTGTATGACTGGCTGACTGAATCTAGTTTTACGCCACTTTTAGCAATATTCCAGCAATATCACGGTGGGGGACACCAGAAATGGGCTTCACACATTGTACCCATGTGGTAAATCGAACCCAGGTCTTCAGCGTGACGATCGAGCGCTTTAACCACTAGGCTACCCAACCGCCCCTCCACTGTATGAATATATCAGGGAAGGTTTTATGGATAATCTCTGTATACCCACAGACATTAATAGAATAGAAAATGTCCACGTAGTGTGAAGCCATGTATATGGATGATATACTGACCGTGACCAAATCCTGCTGTAGAGGGTGCTGAATGTCGCCTGGGAGGTTCTCTCAGCCGGCACACCAAACCTGCAACACACCATAAGACATGTCACCATGACAACCAGCCTCCTGCAAGTGTTGCAGTCCAAATAATTCCACCACAATGCCAACAGAATATCTGTATTTGGAATATATCACTTTAATTGAACCTCATTCCAAAATATTGTATATTCATATGAGAATTGAGGAGAGAAATAATGCAGGTGACACAAAGGTGATTTTCTGTGACATTCTTCTACATGTTATTGGCAAGACATATTTGCTCAATACTACTGATGCTGTGAAACATAATTTCATGTGAACACCCTCCGGTAGGCAAGGTCTGGAGATTTCTTTGGTCCAGAATAATGTAGTTCCACTGTATATCAAACAATCAATATATAATTACAGTATAAACCTGATAAGTAAAATTTCAAGGGACTCGCCAAAATTGTTTACTTATCAGGTATTTTACTTATCCAAACTTATCAAAACCCGGAAATGACAACCATATGCATGTACAATGTACATGTATATGTATTCAGCAGAACAACAGACAACATTTGTAAGTAATATGACATGTTTTATTCCCTAACATTTCATTGCGTTAAGTAATACATTTACAATACAAAGTAATAAAAATCAAACATAATGAAACAAAATATTTTAGCCTAACAGTCTAACTTTTTACTCCACAAAAGCTGTCATGAGGGATTGTCTCTTTGTGAAACATTTCTTCATTTCCTTCTCCGTAACATAGTTGGCCACCATGTTGTAGCCTGTCATTACACTGTGTCCGTCGTCTTGCGATATCACATAACGCCCGACGACTTCTAGGGCTGCTGTTGTGGCATCAAGAGTAGGTGGTAGTGGAGGGGACACATCGTCTTCATCTTCGTCGTCACTGAGAAGCTGGGTCCTGGTCCTGGAATCAATAATGTTCTGGACGATGTCTTGCTCACTGGCAGGGCAGCTGGTTACTAAGTCATCATCCACACTGGCATACTGCGCAAGAGTGATGTTGTTAACAACTAGGGTGGCAAGAGGCACATCATCCTCAGGGTCGCTGTCATCATCGTCTTGGGTGTTGATCTGGTCTGAGATCTTGAAGCCTGCATGCAAGTAGCACTTGTTGATTGTCTGGGGTTGGATGCAGTCCCAAGCCTGTCGTAAATGTTGCATGGCATCAAGGACTGTTATGCTTACAGACTCCTTCTTGTCAATGGCCTTGATGAACTTGGTCATCAGCTGCTTTCTGTAGTGGACCTTTAGGTTGTTGATGACGCCTTGGTCCATCGGCTGAGTCTTGGATGTTGTGTTCGGAGGCAAAAACACAAGTCTGATGGCCTTCAGATTGTCTACATCAGGATGGGCTGGACAGTTGTCAACAATAAGCACAATTCGTCGCCGCTTCCGGTGCATTTTTTTCGTCCAACTTAACTAGCCAATCTTGGAAAATGCTTGATGTCATCCAAGCCTTTTTATTTGCAGTGTACTCTGTGGGAAGAGACTAAACATTCTTGAAACAGCGAGGATTCATTGCTTTGCCTATTACAAGAAGTGGAAGTTTTTCTGTGCCTGTCATATTGGCTGCGACCATGTTTGTCAACCTTTCTTTGCTACGCTTTCCACCGTGACAATGAGTACCTTTAAAGTCCAAAGTTTTGTCAGGCAACAATTTATAGAAGATCCCAGTCTCATCTGCATTAAAAATGTCATTGTCATCATATTCTTTAAGCAGAGAATCAAGAGTTTTGTGCCAAGTTTTCATGCTGTCAGATTCTAAATCAACAGAATTTTCTTCACCACAAACTTTTTTTAGGACAATGCCATAACGTGTATTGAAGCGTCTTAACCAACCAACTGAGCACTTAAAATCTACATGGCCTAACTGACTTGCAAAGTCCTCAGCTTTTGCCATCAAAAGTGGTCCAGATAACGGGATGTTTTCATTTCTTACATTTTTGAACCATGTCAATAAGGCTTCTTCAACATCTTCAAACTTGGACAACCGAGCTCGTTTTCGAGCATTTGAATAACCAGACTGGTGGTAGCATTCCTTAATTTTGTCCGAATTTCTGATCCAGTTGTACAAAGTAGCAGTGGGTATGTTGAATGTCTTTGCAACATCTGACTTTGACACACCATTTTCAATTTCTATAAGTGCAGCAAATTTGTCTTCAATAGACTTTGCCACAAGTTTGCGTTTACCTTTGACAGAACGATCCGATCTCGGTATCCCCCCAGTCACGCTAGGTCATTGCTCAGACATTTTGCCAGAATAGACTGACGATACAATTTTTCCCTCTGTTTTACACGATAGCATTTGTGTTAAATAAACAAGCATTTTTTCCAATTGATCTTATTCTGATTTCGCAGCGAGATTTTATTACTTGTCACGTGACCGTAATGGCAGCCTGCTTCATGTCATTCACAATGTAAACTGGATGAACTCACTGTCATTGCTGATTGGTGTAATCACTGATACTCGCAAGCTACATAAAACAATGAACAACATATCAGGGCTGGCCTCCAGTTGTCAGTGTATTGTTAACTGCATGACGCCAGCGAGCTGTAAGTAGGATGTTTGTTTAGCCGGAGACTGACACGTGCCCCTCATGTCGGATTATGTGGTGATTGCTAATTTAGTTATCCGGTCTCTTTTTTTAAGGAATTTACTTCCAGGGATCGTGAAAAAACGTTTAGTTAAGCGGTATTGTTTACTTATCCGAGTTTAGTTAACCGGACTCTAATAACAATAATTAATGAAGAAATTTGCCGGGACCAAAGAATAGTGTTTACTTATCCGGTATGTTTAGTTAAGCGGTCTTTACTTAGGCGGTTTCCACTGTACTTCCATTACACAGAGACTGATCACTGACACATAATGGTGAGCAGGTCAAAGATTTCCACAGCTACTTTACCTCCTGAGTTGTGCTTGTGATAGTGAACGACGTCGGGTATGCTGGGGTAGGCATGTTTCTCTGAGATGTAGAACTTGCCATCAGGATCCTTCCGTATATGATAATGTCTGACTAGAACACTCCTGAAACAGGGTATGGATACTTCGTGTAAGTAAATGGTGAGGGGTCTTACCCTTCATTAGTATATCGACATAGATCTCACCCTTCATTAATACAGAGAGAAGGGGTTTACCCTTCATAAGTATGTTGACATAGATCTCACCCTTCATTAATACAGAGAGAAGGGGTTTACCCTACATAAGTATGTCGACATAGATCTCACCCTTCATTAATACAGAGAGAAGGGGCTTACCCTTCATAAGTATGTCGACATAGATCTCACCCTTCATTAATACAGAGAGAAGGGGCTTACCCTTCATAAGTATGTCGACATAGATCTCACCCTTCATTAATACAGAGAGAAGGGGTCTTACCCTTCATAAGTATGTCGACATAGATCTCACCCTTCATTATTTCAGAGATAAGGGGCTTACCCTTCATAAGTATGTCGACATAGATCTCACCCTTCATTAATACAGAGAGAAGGGGCTTACCCTTCATAAGTATGTCGACATAGATCTCACCCTTCATTAATACAGAGAGAAGGGGTCTTACCCTTCATAAGTATGTCGACATAGATCTCACCCTTCATTAATACAGAGAAAGGGTCTTACCCTTCATAAGTATGTCGACATAGATCTCACCCTTCATTAATACAGAGAGAAGGGTCTTACCCTTCATAAGTATGTCGACATAGATCTCACCCTTCATTAATACAGTGAGAAGGGGTTTACCCTTCATAAGTATGTTGACATAGATCTCACCCTTCATTAATACAGAGAGAAGGGGTTTACCCTTCATAAGTATGTCGACATAGATCTCACCCTTCATTAATACAGAGAGAAGGGGCTTACCCTTCATAAGTATGTCGACATAGATCTCACCCTTCATTAATACAGAGAGAAGGGGCTTACCCTTCATAAGTATGTCGACATAGATCTCACCCTTCATTAATACAGAGAGAAGGGGTTTACCCTTCATAAGTATGTCGACATAGATCTCACCCTTCATTATTACAGAGATAAGGGGCTTACCCTTCATAAGTATGTCGACATAGATCTCACCCTTCATTAATACAGAGAGAAGGGGTTTACCCTTCATAAGTATGTCGACATAGATCTCACCCTTCATTAATACAGAGATAAGGGTCTTACCCTTCATAAGTATGTCGACATAGATCTCACCCTTCATTAATACAGAGAGAAGGGGTTTACCCTTCATAAGTATGTCGACATAGATCTCACCCTTCATTAATACAGAGAGAGGGGCTTACCCTTCATCAGTATATGTCGACATAGATCTCACCCTTCATTAATACAGAGAGAAGGGTCTTACCCTTCATAAGTATGTCGACATAGATCTCACCCTTCATTAATACAGAGAGAAGGGGTTTTACCCTTCATAAGTATGTCGACATAGATCTCACCCTTCATTAATACAGAGAGAAGGGGTTTACCCTTCATAAGTATGTTCCACATAGATCTCACCCTTCATTAATACAGAGAGAAGGGTTTTACCCTTCATAAGTATGTCGACATAGATCTCACCCTTCATTAATACAGAGAGAAGGGTCTTACCCTTCATAAGTATGTCGACATAGATCTCACCCTTCATTAATACAGAGAGAAGGGGTTTACCCTTCATAAGTATGTCGACATAGATCTCACCCTTCATTAATACAGAGAGAAGGGGTTTACCCTTCATAAGTATGTCGACATAGATCTCACCCTTCATTATTTCAGAGATAAGGGTCTTACCCTTCATAAGTAAGTATGTCGACATAGATCTCACCCTTCATTAATACAGAGAGAAGGGTCTTACCCTTCATAAGTATGTCGACATAGATCTCACCCTTCATTAATACAGAGAGAAGGGGCTTACCCTTCATAAGTATGTCGACATAGATCTCACCCTTCATTAATACAGAGAGAAGGGGTTTACCCTTCATAAGTATGTCGACATAGATCTCACCCTTCATTAATACAGAGAGAAGGGGCTTACCCTTCATAAGTATGTCGACATAGATCTCACCCTTCATTAATACAGAGAGAAGGGCTTACCCCTTCATAAGTATGTCGACATAGATCTCACCCTTCATTAATACAGAGAGAAGGGGTTTACCCTTCATAAGTATGTCGACATAGATCTCACCCTTCATTAATACAGAGAGAAGGGGTTTACCCTTCATAAGTATGTCGACATAGATCTCACCCTTCATTAATACAGAGAGAAGGGTTTACCCTTCATAAGTATGTTGACATAGATCTTACCCTTCATTAATACAGAGAGAAGGGGTTTACCCTTCATAAGTATGTCAACATAGATCTCACCCTTCATTATTTCAGAGATAAGGGTCTTACCCTTCATAAGTATGTCGACATAGATCTCACCCTTCATTAATACAGAGATAAGGGTCTTACCCTTCATAAGTATGTCGACATAGATCTCACCCTTCATTAATACAGAGATAAGGGGCTTACCCTTCATAAGTATGTCGACATAGATCTCACCCTTCATTAATACAGAGAAGTATGGGCATAGATTACCCTTCATAAGTATGTTCATAAGACATAGATCTCACCCTTCATTAATACAGAGAGAAGGGGCTTACCCTTCATAAGTATGTCGACATAGATCTCACCCTTCATTAATACAGAGAGAAGGGGTTTACCCTTCATAAGTATGTTGACATAGATCTCACCCTTCATTAATACAGAGAGAAGGGGTTTACCCTTCATAAGTATGTCGACATAGATCTCACCCTTCATTAATACAGAGAGAAGGGGTTTACCCTTCATAAGTATGTCGACATAGATCTCACCCTTCATTAATACAGAGAGAAGGGGTTTACACTTCATAAGTATGTCGACATAGATCTCACCCTTCATTAATACAGAGAGAAGGGGTTTACCCTTCATAAGTATGTCGACATAGATCTCACCCTTCATTAATACAGAGAGAAGGGGTTTACCCTTCATAAGTATGTTGACATAGATCTCACCCTTCATTAATACAGAGAGAAGGGGTTTACACTTCATTAGTATGTCGACATAGATCTCACGCTTCATTAATACAGAGAGAAGTTGAACACCTTAATCAAAGGGGAATAGTGGATACCGTTCATAAATAAAACCTCAAAGAGGATACCCTAAACATATGAAGCATGAAAGAGCTTACCCTCTAAAGTCTAAGAGTGCTTAATCATCACTAGTTTAAGATATATATTGTCAACCCTTCATCAGGAGAGAGAAATAATGCTTACCCTTCATTTGTAAATAGCGACAGGGTGTACATCCCTGGCGTGCTGCTGGAGTCTCGCACCAGGAAGCAGCCCTCACGATTGTCCTCCTGCAAGATGGCCTCACTGCGCTGCCGGGTGATATCCTTGTAGTACCAGCTGGAACACAGTGGGGCAATGTACAACAAAGTAGGACATACCAGTAATTCACGTATTTAGGCCCACGTGAAATTTAGCCCATGGGCTTAAATTCTTGTGTGTTTAGAGTGATGTCCCTTGCTACATGCAGAGACTTTGACTCTGAATAGTGTCACTGTCATAGATATCAGTCAGTCACTCCTGTCATATTAGTTTGAAGTTCATGTTTTGCATTAAATAGACTGTTAACTTCATCATTTTCATAACTTTCAATTTTGAATTTATAGACCAGTTTCCTGATTAAAGAGTTAAAAAAAATCCTGATTGTTTTCATATTTTATAAAAATATTGTGCATTTTCAAACTTAAGCCCTGGGCTTAAATATGGTTAAAATATTTCATCACTAGAACAGTGATTTTCCATATTTAAGCCTGGGGCATGAATACTCCACTCAGACACATTACACTGACTCCGAGCTGATCAGTCCTTGTTGTACCCATTAATGCCGAGCGCCAGGCAGGGACCAACAAGTACCATATTTTAACGTCTTTTGGTATGGCGCGGTCGGGGATCGAACCCGCGACCTTCCACTCTCCGGGTGGACGCTCTAACCACTACACCACGGAGGCAATCCGGCTTGAAAGATCATGATATGATATGGTTGTGTGTATAAAGGGTACCTCCTTGGTGGTAAGGACCTAACAATGGACATGTTCATCCAGGAAAGGGAAAGATGGGATTTGGTCACATGTAACACTACTTATAGACTAACAACTAGGCCCTGAAAATTTACATATTTTACAGGGGGGTGGGTCTTGTGTGGTTGGTTGAGTTGATGCTGATGCTAATTCCCTCAAGGTACTGGAAGAGGGAAAGGTGTTCTGGTTGTGCATAACCACTGATCACCTCATGGGTGGGGGGCGGTGGGGTAGCCTAGTGGTTAAGGAGTTCACTCATCACACTGAAGACCTGGGACTGATTCCCCACATTGGCACAATCTGTGAAGCTTATTTCTGGAGTCCCCTGCTGTGATATTGGTGGAATATTGCTAAAAGTGTCATTAAAACAAACTCACTCATGGGTTGGGCCTATGCTATCAATTATAGCCACACGTCATTTCATCCAACAATGCAGTACCATTTATATTTTAGTCACAACCAGACCTAAAACCAAAATCTCTAATTCTTCATGGGAAAACCTCATAGTTTCTTTTCAGGCATGACAATCCTAATGTGATGTTGGTAAATAAATACTTACTCATATATTTCCAGGTCGAACTTCCTTTTGACATAATTAGCTGGAATGTATCCCCTGATTCCTGCAAATGAACCGGAATATGTATAGACAAGTTCCTGGAACATGTGACTGTCACCAAGTCATGGAATCTTGGACAAGTGAGAAAATGTGCAATAATAGGACTAAGCATTAAAGGAGGTCTAGATTGGGTTTAACATTTACTGAGTGTCAAAAAGGCAACAATATAATTGTTTTCAGATATCTATGTTAAAGATCACATATACTCTAGGGGGTACAAACACATAAATCACTAATTGGCATTGTTATAAATGAAACCCCATCATTAAAACTACTCATTTCAATCTTTAATTAACTTGACACAGTGCACAATTCTCACCCGCGAACAAAATTTCAACCAATCAGAGCTGCGCGTCTCTGTGACGTCATATGAGGAATATATATGAGGGCCGATGCAGAATTCATGTACATTTCAGGGGGGTAAATTATCTTGTTTACAGGTTTGTATAAACCTGAAATCGTGACAACTGTTGTCAAAAATGAAAGCTATATGTTCTCACAATGTACTGTCATTTAAGTTTGTCTACTGTGTTGCCTAGTTTCCGAGTTACAACTTGTTTTCATAGACGATTCTGTCAAAATCGCTTGGCGTCAGTAGGCCTTATTTGTTTGAGCCAGATGCTAGTGATAGCGAAAACGATGATCAGTCTTGCTCATCACGGCTACGGTTAATTTCTTCAGCCTAAACAGTGCGACATTAAGAAGGGTGGATGCCCATCAGATGCAGTTATTTCAAAATATCCCCGGTAGTTCTTGTCTGATTGTAATAAAGTACCAAAGCAGGGTGGGCTTTTTCAGGTTTTCTAATGCCTGGATGGTATAATGACTGATCCAAATTGATCCCAATTCTGTGTTTTTTACCTCGATATTTAATCATGTAATGTAAAAATATGACGACTATTACGTTTGATATTAAAAAATTGACATTTGATTTATTTGAATCTGTAAACTAAACAACCCTACTTTGCCGTTGCTAGAAGAATCTGAAAATTTACTTAGGTAAATAGGTACATACAGTTTTAGAACACAGCAAATGCTTATATGTATTTCTTATGGAACAATGAAGTTTGTATTCTCAAAACAGTGACTGCCCATAAGCATTCATATGCAATTAAAATTGCGTGCAATACAGCAATTAATACTCCCTTGTTGTAACCCGTGTTAGGTGGTATAAACCTACACATGTTATTTGTCATCATTCACTTGATGGTCAGTTAATGAATGTATAACAGGTATAATTAGTGGTAACACAACTTAGATTACCCAACAAAGGTTCCCATTTGGCATTTCTTGTGTCTGGAGTAAATACTCAACATTATAAACATCGATCAAAGGATTAATCGATAACATGCTGATTGATTAATTACTTTTATTTTACACAGCGGATTTGTCAAAAGGTAGTGTTTATGTATGTAGATTTACTAATCTATACTGAATACACTCTGTCGTGTCTGTGTCTGCGTAAAAACAACGTCATTCTTTCAAAGGATTAACCGCCAATATATTGATTGATTGCTCATTATTGGCTAACGAAATTACTTTTTTTTAAAGAATGGCAGACATTATGCAATTCGTTGCCAGGTGTGCTATCTTGTGTGACCAATGAGACTATACACCAATGTGAAATATCTGAAACGATATATCACTTTTTCGTATATTAGACTGTTAAAAGACACATCACTTGGAACAGCTGCAGATGAATGGCATATCTCTCGAACAAGGTAATAGCCTGACATAGTTCCTATAACTTTAATCTGTTTGAATTGAACATTTGCATTTTGTTTTTGTTCATTTGTCGTAGCATTCAACAGAATCATTGTTTTCACCGTGAAGTGTAATGAGACAGACAACATACACTAGGGCGTGTTTGCGAATTATGATTCGAATTGGCAAACTATAAAATGTCTAGATATTACAGTCCTGTTATAAAGTCACTATAGGTATCAGCAGATCGTCTGCTTTTAATTTAGTTTCAAAATGCATACAAGTATGATAATAAACTAATTAGGATTATAAGACCAAATATAAAGCTGTACCTTGACTAGTATCTACATACTGGTGAGTGGGCGTTAACCACGTGAATGTAGCAAGAAATTTATCGCGCAGTATTGTCACTTCGACCCCCACCTTACTTCTGTGTGGAAGAAATCGTTATGTTACAAGTTGTGTCATGCAAAATCCTTTTGGTCATGATTCAAATACATATTTAACTATGAGTAGAAAGTAGTTTTGATTTTCTAACTTGATGAACACAAACCATAATCTCATTAATTCCAACAGACTTTAGCCCGTCACTTTACGATTTTCAAAAATGGCGGCGCCCTGTCGCGAACATACGCCAGTCTGAGGATAAATGCTATTTAGGTCTGTTTTCACCGAGTTAGAAAATCAAAACTACTTTCTACTGGTAGTAAAATATGTATTTGACTAATGGCCAATAGGATTTTGCATGACATAGCTTATAACAGAACAATTTCTCTCATGGAAGCGAGGTGGGTGTCAATATAATACTACTTACAGTATTATTGTTACTTCGACCACAACCTCGCTTCCGAGGAAGAAATCGTTATGTTACAAGTTGTGTCATGGAAAATCTTTATGGTCATCAATCATATACATATTTTACTACAACTAGTAAGTAGTTTTGATTCTTTAACTTCCGTGAAGCGATCTGAACACAAGTAAGATATCTTTTCAGGCTTCCACAACGCTTGCTTCGCGCTCACGAACATAACCCATTTAGCACGAACTGCGGGGTCCTGTGGAAATCTGTGCATGGTGACACCATATAGGAGCAATTGACGACAATGCAATGATTCGGCATGTCTTCACTGATGTCGAGAAATCATCAAAATGACGAGCCTGCTAGACACTTTCTATACAACTAACTGAAAATCCTTCCTCATATGACGTCACTGCAGTGCTCTGGCGACAGAGTTACGTTACCTGTCTGTGGTTTCGTTGGCTGGCGAGAGTGAAGCAGGAGACTTTTTGGCAACTTTTAATCGCTCGGTATTAATTTACCACAAGTGTTTTAAGAATGAATTTGGTGTTCCGCATAAGACTAACCACAAATCTTTCATATGTAATAGTTAAAACAGTACATTAAAACAAAGTTTATTTGTTCTTTAAGGGCTAAACATTAACCCCTCCAACAGCATGGCTGACGTACATAGGCTAAAGACAGCAGTGACATGAAATAGTGGGAAGATAAAGGTACTGCTCATGCTGAGCCACTGAAACAGTTTAACTATTTCCATAACAGTACACATTATATACACCAAACTACACACTTTAACTGACCACTAGTGATGTAATGTACTATCTGTGTAACATACAACTAGTGATGCAATTGACCATCTATGCAACGGACCACTAGAGATGCAATGTCCCATCAATATACTTACAATAGTGTTTGACAATTACACAACCATTGCAGTAAATGCCCCATTGAATGAAATCCTTACTAGGATTTAGCCCTTTGGGGAATTAAGCCATCAATGTCTCCCAAAGGGCTAATTGTTCAAAGATAAGTTCATTTTAGAAAATAAATATTTCTCACCCCTTCTTGTCTTTAGCTTGCCACCAATGTTCTCGGCTATCGTCTAGTATTTCATACTCCTCTCCCTGAAAACAGATAGGTGGGAGTCAGTTCAGTCTTGTTATTTCTCTCTGCAAAAAACTAGGTGCTGTGTTTGGTTTTATAAGTGTTCTTCTAAAAACAGTGTTCCCAGCATTGTTTTTGACATCCATGGATCCACAATGCGGGTTCATTGCCAAGAAGAGCTAAGAATATGAGTTACAATCACCAAAGCAGTTATCAAATCATGAGTAAAAGAATGGGGGTTAATATGATCTTAACATCATTTCAATGTAATGAGTATATGTTAAAGAATTGGGAATTTTGATCATTTGGGATTTTTTGAATGGACCTTTTCTCAAATTCAGCAGCATTCATTGTTATATGTCATGACAAATTGAAAACAGCCAACATGTTCAAATGTGATCGGAGTTCTGTGGGCAGCTTTTAGAACCACCATTAATGAGATTATCTATGCACAATTTCAGCTTCATATACCCAGCAGAAATGATGAAAATACAAATCTATATAGATAGCCATCTGTGATGATCAAAGGTCATTGCAGGATCAAGGATCAAAATACCAAGAAAACCCAACAATTTACATGTTATTGTTTAAACAACATATTGACTGCATCTCAAATGTCATTAATGTCAAAGACCATTAAGACACATGCAAAATAGATAATTACTAAGAAATGGGTAAAAGCCCCTAAATTTAGCATGTCTGCCAGGTTTAAAGTTTGATCAGAATTAAGACAGCATAGTGATAAAACCTTCCACCTGATGAAATATTTACATTAATAGTCCAACATGAAGACCTACATAATTATTACCATGTAATGACTGTGTGAGTGAGTTAGGTTTTACGCCACTTTGAAATATTCCACAATATCCCGGTGGGGGACACCAGAATATTACTATATAAAGATTGTTGATGAAAGTATACATTAAGAAAAATTTCAACCATGATAAGCATTGTTGACCAAAATAGAAAACATATAAAACCCACAATATTTCACACAAATACATTATAGCTTATCAGGGGCAGTGCAGCTTTTTTGAGAAAAAGGGGTTGCATAGTTTATTTTCACCCGTTTTCACGAGAGTTTATATGGTCATTTAATAAACTTTCAGGATGAAACAGAGCTGCACACCCCTGCGTCCCCGTCTGGATCCGCCTATGCTTAATGAATGAAATATAGGTACAAATGACATCACATATAAAGTAAAATTTCAGAAGATCTAGGATCAACGGTTCAATTAATTTGAAAGAACACAGTAACACAAAAAGAATGTTTGTTTGAAATCTAAATTAATTTTCTGTCCAAGACCTCTTAATTATGATGCTTTTGAATTTCTACAACTTTGTGATGGATTACAGTCAGACTGTTTTCACATATCATTCCATTGTGTTTCCAAAGAAGAGTAAAATCACAAAAAGAAAGATATAAGTAGTAAGTTAAATTCATTATGTTTAGTACATATTAACTTACTTTTGAAAAATTTATAACAGTAATCTTTACTTGCAAAGGGAAAAATGTTTTAAAAATACACACAAAAAAGAGGGGTCATTTCATCATGACCCTGCAATAAGCATATATTGAACTATGAATTAAAACGTATCTCCCTGGCATCAGAAATTATGAAGGAATGCTATTACACAAGTCCTTTTGACAATTTTCACAATGTCCATGCATAACATGGTGGTGAAAAAGATCAAATGCTGAAGAAATGAGAAGACTGTATTTCAAGGATAAAATGGGACTAACTGCACTCATCTGACAGTAAGAGTGTTGATAAATATAACCAACAATATTAATATTTAATGTCTCCTATCCACTAAATTCCTAGAAGTATCATCTAGGTACTATTTTGCCTAAGTTCATGTTTCCAAACATCAGATATTGTGTGCAGTACTGAGAGGTGTTAACAAATACCACACGGTCTGGACAAACAAGCTCGTTGCCTGCATCATATCTCACAGAGTCAGATTTCATCTACAGGATGTGCTACAAAGTCGAGGGTGAATTTTGACATCCAACAGGATGTGTACATGGTGGAGTCGGATACGAAACACAGCCCTACTGTGTACTAACAGAACACGTTAACTGCTGATGTCTGCATGGTGTGGCAATTACATGTGTGAGCCACTTTCAGCTGATCCACATCTCCAAGGTTTTGGTGATTAAATCAAACTGACCCTCATCCAACATTGAACATCTGAATTATACACCAAAGTCAATGAAGATTTGGAACAGTCTAAGACTAAACATCTCTGTGCTGTTAACCTTAGTAGTGTTGGGAATTGGTTAAAATCTCATAATTGATGATTGGTTCATTACAACCGATCAATCATCGAAAATAATTTATGAAATTTGTTAATGTAAAAAAACAAGTAGTTCTTTTGTGGCTTTTTGGCAAAATTTCACATCTTTAAAGGATGACTAGTATGTTAGGAACATACATTTCTTGGAGCCTTTAAGATAAATTCAATCATGACTTTAAAAGAACTTGTAGTGCTTACAAAAGGTAACAGACAAATCCAACCATGTGAAAAATATTGTTAATGAAAACAAGTATTCCAAAATTGGCTGTGTTCGATTATGAGAAATTATGATCGATTGCTTGGTCGTTTAGTCACTACGACCAATCTTCGATTATTTCAATAAATCGGACCACCACTAAACCTTAGTACACAAGGCCAAACTTTGTCATCACCAGATGAAGTGTCATCTCCCTGAGAGGTGTTACCTCATTGAGACCAGCATGGTTGTATACAGATGTCATCTCACTAAGACAGCATGGCTGTATGCAGATGTCATCTCTACTAAGACAGCATGGCTGTATACAGATGTCATCTTACTAAGACAGTATGGCTGTATACAGATGTCATCTCACTAAAACAACATGGCTGTATACAGATGTCATCTCACTAAGACAGCATGGCTGTATACAGATGTCATCTCACTAAAACAACATGGCTGTATACAGATGTCATCTCACTAAGACAGCAGGCTGTATACATGTCATCTTACTAAGACAGCATGGCTGTATACAGATGTATGGCTGTATACAGATGTCATCTCACTAAGACAGCATGGCTGTATACAGATGTCATCTCACTAAGACAGCATGGCTGTATACAGATGTCATTTCACTAAGACAGCATGGCTGTATACAGATGTCATCTCACTAAGACAGCATGGCTGTATACAGATGTCATCTTACTAAGACAGCATGGCTGTATACAGATGTCATCTCACTAAAACAACATGGCTGTATACAGATGTCATCTCACTAAGCATGGCTGTATACAGATGCCATCTTACTAAGACAGCATGGCTGTATACAGATGTCATTTCACTAAGACAGCATGGCTGTATACAGATGTCATCTAACTCTAACTAAGACAGCATGGCTGTATACAGATGCCATCTTACTAAGACAGCATGGCTGTATACAGATGTCATTTCACTAAAACAGCATGGCTTCACACAGATGTCATTTCACTAAGATGTTATGGCTGTATCCAGATGTTATGGCTATATGCAGATGTCATGTCACTAAGACGGCATGAACAGCCAAAGCTCTAATAAATGATCAGTAGCAGCAACTTATTACACATTCTAAGATGCTTCGCTAAAACATCAAAGGCACCAACAGTTCTTTATCAGGCGATATAGTATACTTTTTTCATGACGTCACACTGTATTGACGTCACTACGCCATTCTTGTCTGCCCCCTTGTTATCAAACATACTTTTGGTAACCGACGTCACGATGTCATTGTCATTGCCTTGTACAGCCTCCTACAGTAAACTAATCTTTTCTTGGTTTGCAGTTGCTTCACTCGGCTAACATCACTGGAGGAAGCATTACGTTTATGTTTTTTGTCAGATATAATGTCTCAGTTCGACTCACACTGAACCAACGACACAGCAACTTTCGCAATGTTTACATTCCCACAATGCATCAGTGGAATGTCACGTGTTTAGTCAGCTTCATCAGGATGTACTGATACAAACTTACGTTGGTAGTAGAAATGCGACGTTCATATTGCCCCATATGGTTTACATTAATCACAGATGTATAAAAATATTTTAGAGCAGAAATTTAACCTGAACCTAAACTATCATCAAACTGTTCATCATTTGTTTTTTTGGTAACAGCCGTCTTAACATAGAAGGGCAGACACGTCAGTAGAACAGCACGTCACTTAGCCCTGAGCAAGGATTGTAAATTTAGATCACTGACACTATTATAATGTTAAAGCACTTCGCCGTAAGCCTCTCGTTCTTTAATTATAATAGTTCAGGGCAAAGGTATACTTTATTACACTTTACGTGGTGGTAGAGAGAACTGTATTTCTTAAACAAAGGACAAAATTCTACTTACACAAGCGAGTTCTAAGTCTCCCTCCTCTGCAGCTTGATAGTCATATATTGCCACATAAACCTTGGCTTCTTTCTTGGAGGCACCATTCACATCTAATTGCTGCTGCTGTTGTTGTTGTTGTTGCTGTATTGGCATCACATTTTCTGGGGGACAAAGCGATGAAAGTCATGTATGAGTCCCAATACTCTACCACTTTGGGGATGTAACCATAAATAGATCATATATATGTTCCCATATATTGATTCACCTGACGAAGGGGCAAGGAAAAGCCCAGAAACATTGTGTACAATAAAGAAGAAGTTGACATCCATAATATTTTCTCATATACTTGAATACCAACTATATGCCTCTCAAGAACATCATGTTCCCATTAGATATTCTGTTAGTACCACAAAACATTGCATTTCCAAAGTATGACTGCAATATTGCTTAGAACAGCCTTGCCTTTCTCACTCACATAATATGCAGAGACGCGTAGAAGTCTCACAATATGACCTGCTGTTCTGTAAATGTGCTACATTGAGTGTGGAAGTCTCACTACTCACCTTGTTGTTTGTGTTGCTACCTGACTCACATTGTTGTTTTTGTTACGATCTGACTCATCCTATTGTTCTTGTTACTGACTCACATTAGTGTTCTTGTTGTTTACACCTGACTTCCTTTGTCCTTCATATTGCCACTTGACTCCCATTATTATCCGTATGTTGCCACCTGACTCACCTTGTTTGTATTTTTAACTATCTGACTCACCTTATTGTTTATGTTACTGACTCACATTGTTGTTGCCACTTCACTTACCTTGTGTTTGTGCTGCCATTTGATTCTTATTGATATTTGTGTTGCCAAGTGACTCACCTTGTTGTTCATGTGTTAAGGCTGACTCACCTTGTTGTTCAAGTGTTGAAGCTGACTCACCTTGTTGTTCAAGTGTTGAAAACTGACTCACCTTGTTCTTGTGTTGAAAACTGAATCACCTTGATGTTCATGTGTTGAAAACTGACTCACCTTGTTGTTCATGTGTTGAAAACTGACTCACCTTGTTGTTCATGTGTTGAAAACTGACTCACCTTGTTCATGTGTTGGACTCACCTTGTTGTTCAAGTGTTGAAGCTGACTCACCTTGTTGTTTGAAAACTGATGTGTTGAAAACTGACTCACCTTGATGTTCATGTGTTGAAAACTGACTCACCTTGTTCATGTGTTGAAAACTGACTCACCTTGTTCATGTGTTGAAAACTGACTCACCTTGTTGTTCATGTGTTGAAAACTGACTCACCTTGTTTCATGTGTTGAAAACTGACTCACCTTGTTGTTCATGTGTTGAAACCTGACTCACCTTGTTGTTCATGTGTTGCCACCTCACAGCCTGGAGCATTGCGGTATAGCTGATCACAGCAGTTGTATTTGCGAGAAGTTTTTGTCCACACTCCTTTGTGATATTTCGGTACTAAATTGGCCCCTAGTTTTAGAGCTTCTGCAAAAATATAGACACCGAGTGTGCATATCTTACAACATATAAGCCCCATCTGAATTTACCACAAGTGTATGATGAATATGTCAGATGTGTCCCCACAAGAAATGTATTGCAGCACAAAAGGCAGTCTAGTAACTCCACGCAATGAATCCCACACAGACATCAACGAATGCCCTACCAGGCTTCATGCTTCCATTCATTTGTCAGTGCTATCACAATAAGTGTATGAAATATTAACTCTAGCCTTAAAGATCACATATACTCTAGGGGGTACAAATACATAAATCACTAACTGGCATCGCTATAAATGAAACCCCGTCATTAAAACTACTCACTTCGGTCTTTAATTAACTTAAATCAACCTTTTTGACAACAGTGCACAATTCTCACCCGCGAAGAAATTTCAACCAATCAGAGCGGCGCGTCTCTGTGACGTCATATGAGGAATAGATATGAGGGCCGATGCAAAATTCATCTACATTTCAGGGGGTAAATTATCTTGTTTACAGGTTTGTATAAACCTGAAATCGTGACAACTGTTGTGGAAAATGAAAGCTGTATGTTCTCACAATCTACTGTCATTTAATTTTGTCTCCTGCTTTGCCTAGTTTCCGAGTTACAACTTGTTTTCATAGAAGATTCTGTAAAAATCGCTTGGTGTCTTTAGGCCTTATTTGTATAATGACTGATCCAAATTGATCCCATTTCTGTGTTGTTTTACCTCGATATTTAATCATGTCATGTAAAAATCTGTTTGTATTCTCAAAACAGTGTTGGCCCATAAGTTTTCACATGCACTACAGCAATTAATACTCCCTTGTTGTAACCCGTGTTAGGTGGTATAAACCTACACATGTTATTTGTCATCATTCACTTGATGGTCAGTTAATGAATTTATAACAAGTATAATTAGTGGTAACACACTTAGATTACCCGACAAAGGTTCCCATTTGGCATTTCTTGTGTCTGGAGTAAATACTCAACATTATAAACATCGATCAAAGGATTAACCGATAAAACGCTGATTGATTAATTACTTTTATTTTACACAGCGGATTTGTCAAAAGGTAGTGTTTATGTATGTAGATTTACTAATCTATACTGAATACGCTCTGTCGTGTCGGTGTCTTCGTGAAAACAACGTCCTATTTTCAAAACCGCCAATACAATTGATTGCCTTCTTGGCTAACAAAGGATTAACCATTAATACATTGATTGATTGCTCATTATTGTGAAAACTAAATTATCACTTTTTTATAAAAAGACTCACTTGGAATTAGGATTATAGGACCAAATATAATAGCCTGACATTGTTCCTATAACATTGACTAGTATCTATTCAACATACTGGTGAGTGGAGACGTTAACCACTAGGAATGTAGCAAGAAATATATCTAGATATTACAGTATTGTTATAAAATTCACTTTATCAGACCCCAGTTTCACCTACTCCAAATATAAGGGCCTCCTGTGGAAGAAATCGAGCAGTATGTTATAAGTTGTGTCATGCAAAAGTCCCTTTTGGTTATGATTCAAATACATATTTAACTATGAGTAGAAAGTAGTTTTGATTTTCTAACTTGATGAAAACAAACCATAATCTCATTAATTCTAACAGACTTTAGCCCGTGACTTTTCACGATTTTCAAAATGGTGGCCCTGTCGCGAACATCCGCCAGTCTGAGGATAAATGCTATTTAGGTTTGTTTTCACCGAGTTACAAAATCAAAACTACATTCTACTGATAGCAAAATATGTATTTGACTAATGGCCAATAGGATTTTGCATGACATAGCTTATAACATAACAATTTCTCTCGTGGCAGCGAGGTGGGTGTCAATATAATACTACTTACAATATTATTGTTACTTCCGACCACAACCTCACTTCCGAGGAAGAAATCGTTATGTTACAAGTTGTGTCATGGAAAATCTTTATGGTCATCAATCATATACATATTTTACTACAACTAGTAAGTAGTTTTGATTCTTTAACTTCTGTGAAGCGATCTGAACACAAGTAAGATATCGTTTCAGGCTTCCACAACGCTCACTTCACACTTACAAATATAACCCATTTAGCACGAACTGCGGGGTCCTGTGGAAATTTGTGCATGGTGACCATCGCCCGACCCCTAGGAGCAATTGACGACAAAGCAACGATTCGGCATATCGTTGTTGATGTCGAGAAATCATCAAAATGATGAGCGTGCTACACACTTTCTATACAACTAACTGAAAATCCTTCCTCATATGACGTCACTGCAGTGCTCTGGCGACAGAGTTACGTAACCTGTCTGTGGTTTCGTTGGCGGGTGAGAGTGAAGCAGGCGACTTTTTGGCAACTTTTAATCGCGAAGTTTTAAAGTGAAGCTAACCACAAAACTTTCACTTTTTAAAGGCAACTTTTAATAATCTTCAGCTTCCCACAACGCTATTAATTAACCACAAATTTTTAAAGAATGAATTTGGTGTCATCAAAATGATAAGTGCTAACCACAAAACTTTCATATGTAACTGCAGTTAAACAGAGTTACAAAAACAAAGTTTTTTGGCAACTTTAATCGCCGGTATTAATTTAACCACAAAACTTTCATATGTAATAGTTAAAAGAGTACAAAAAAACAAAGTTTATTTGTTCTTTAATAATCTGGTTCCTTTGTCCCACCCAATTTCTAACCCTCATAGTTAACTAAAATAGGAGGTAATAATGGCACTTACGCTGTCTTATTGCTGTCACCCAGCTGTCCCTCTGGTCAGCATTTAGAGCAACAATGTATAATGTGAAGAAGTCGTTGTTTTCATGGTACATCACCTGGCGACAACACAACATCAACTAAGTCATACACTTAATTAAAATGTCACTTGAACCTGATCCCTCCCCTCTCCTGGACTCCTCTGTCACCCAGACCCTCTCTCACCTTGACCTTCCACTCATTTGGGCCCCTCTCTGACCTGAAGCCCCTTCTCACTCTTTCCCCAGTCTCACCTGAACCCCCTCTCATTCAGAGACCTCATACTAATCCCCATCACTCACTTACACCACCTTTCACCAGGATCTCTTCCTCACCTAGGTCCACTTCTCTCATTTGGACCCCACATGGACCCTGACACTCACCAGTTCTCCCTTTCTCACCTTGACCCCTCTCTCACCTGAAACCTCCTATCTCACCTTGATCCCTCTCTGACCTTGATCCCCTCTGACCTGGACCCCCTCTGACCTGGACCCCCTCTCACCTTGACCCCTCTCTCACCTGGACCATTCTCTCAACTTAACCCTCCTCTCACCTGGACCCCCTCTCTCACCTTGACCCACTCTCTCACCTTGACCCCCCTCTCACCTGGAAGACATTGTCCCTGCTGTCCAGCATACGGTTCTCCACATTCTCTACAGCTTTAACATTGGGAAGAGCAATACATCCCTTTTCCTTTCCTCTTTTCTGAAACATTGATAATAGTGTTTACTCAACTATAATGGAAACAAACATCCCACAGCAAAATGTGTGAATAGCATGTATAGTGCTTAGTCTTCCTTGTCCAGCCCCATGTATCCTGAATACTTGCATCACAAGTGTGCAAACATTTCAGTGAGTAAGCATGTTAATATAGTTTTATGCTGCTTTTAGCAATATTCCAGCAATATCACAGCAGGGGACACCAGAAATGGGCTTCACACATTGGTAGACATTTCAGTCAGAAATACATGTTCATATGCTTGATTATGTGTAGGTGAGGAGCGGAGGAGGAGATGTGTAGAGAAGATTTGTTACAAAGACTGGTTTCCCAATGAGCAGCTGGCATAAAACTGGAAAGTGTAAAGCCCCCAAAAAAATGCTCCTTCCTATACTTAGCCAACCAGACAAAGAAAAACACAGAGAACATTATAAATGGCAGAACACAATTTGAACTTTCTTCTTTCACAAAACAATCCATAAAAACTGAAAATAGAAAAATGTTTCCAACATGTAAAGAGAAATGATGTTGTTCCCTAATGAAAGAAAAGAACTAAAATATATGCATGCTCCATATCAGATTGTCCTTTTCCCAATCCCACCTTGACTATGATCAATGTTTCACAGTAGTTATTTCTCATAAATCCAATTCTCAGGTTGTCAACAGTGAATGATTCAACACAAAAATTAAACGTTTGTATTCATCTAGTTTGTTTCCTTGTTGAATTGCACTCAGCAATTTTCAAGCTTCATGACAGTGGGCTGTAAATATGGACCAAACAATCCAGTGATGGACATCATGAGCATCAATGTCTATAGATCGATCAAATGTGAGATGATGAATATGCATCAATCAAGTCATTGAGCCTGACCACCTGATCCAGTTAGTTGCCTCTTACAACAAGCATGGGTTGCTGAACACCAATTCTATCTGATCTTCATGGGTAGTGGCACTGGTCAGTAATTCTGAAAGGAATCTTTTTCAGTCTATTTCCAAGTAATAAAATGATAAGCAGCTTATCTATAGCTCAGCCAGAATAAATGCTTACCTCAAGCTTTCCATCAAAGTATCGCAGGTATTCCTCATCAAGAACAAAATGTCTGCCCTTGTAATTCTCGGATGTGAATGTGTTTTTTGTTCTGGGACCTCTTCATAAGATAGTCCACCTTTATAATATTACATGTTGACTGTCGGCGTGCCATTTTGAAGAAATCTTGCAACTTCAGAAGTCTTTAGAAGTCACCAAACTGGAGTTCACATGAAGAACTACATCTGCAATGTTCTGTGAATCACACTCCTGCAAAGAGTAAAATGTTTCCATTAGTACCATCAGGCATGGTTATATCAATAGCAATTGACAATGGAAGCTCAAAACCAGGTTAGCTGTAGCATGAACATGTTTCAACATTTTTCAGTTTGTTCATATTTTGTCACTTTAGTCCTTTTCCCTGTAAAAAATCATTTTGAATATTTACATAACTTACAGAGTACCCAATACTTTAACAGATAATGAACAGCAAATACGTCATTATCTTTATGATAATAAGGACAGACAACTCATATAACTATACATTGCAGTCATCCACAATGTAATTAAGTGAGTGAGTTGGGTTTTACACAGCTTTTAGCAATATTCCAGCAATGTCAAGGCTGGGACACCAGAAATAGGTTTCACACAGGACAGAACCCGTGCCTTCAGCGTGATGAGTGAATGCTTTAACCACTGGGCTACCCCACCCCCACAAAGCACTGGAATTTGCTTTGGATGTATACGTCATGCATAATTTACGGAATTGCCCAATCCGCGAATTACGCGAGACATTTGCGTAATCCCCGAGAATGGGCGACCCTCTGCCCAAACCCTGTCATTACGCAATTAGTAGTGCTCCTGTGGATTGGGCAATTAAATAATCTGCATAATCCCATAGATTGAGCAAGCTGAGTTTGTGTATTTAGAAACCTAGTTGAGCTTGTGTTTTTAGACAATGATTAGTGTTTCATAGTTTGTCTCCCAGTAGTCGACTGACAGTTGCACTGAGATGGAGGACAAAATTAGATTTGAAAGTTTAATCAACAGTGGTGCATTCTCTGTATTTGCAAGAAGTAAAATATGAAGAAATAATAAACGAAGTTTCTTCCGCCAAAGACTGTAAGAAAGTAAAAGCACAAATATGTAATTTTTCAAGTAAAATTTATATTTTATACTTATCTTGACTCATGATCTTTTGCTTATCTCCCTTGCGAATGGTAGTGGAACACTTGAATCCCTTGAAGTTCCCGAAGCAGGACGTAAAAATACACTCACTCACAAGCTACCTCCCTTTTCCCGCGTAAACAGTCATGTGACCAGCTTTACTTGTCACTCTCTCCTGATTTTTCTGCCTAAGCACTTGGATGTGCTGTGCAATCCGAAGTGTTTCCAGGGGGGAGGTTGGGAGGGCTTGACCTCATGAGTCAGGATAAGTATAAAATATCAATTTTACTTGAAAAATTACATATTTTTTCTTATCCTGACTCATGATCTTTTGCTTAAAGAATCCTGCAGATTGGTGGTGGGTCAGGCCACTTCCTGGAATCATCAGCTGTCCTTAGATACGTCCTGTATCCCACCCATGGGAACTGCGTAGCGGCATTTCCAAGATCCTATTCTTCCAACTTCCGTTATAATTCGGGGGGACCACTTTCTTGTCTTACTTCCATCACTAACAAGTTGAATCATCTTGATTCATGTGGTTTAAGATATAATAGTATCTTCTTTTTACTAGATATCTATAACAAACCATAGATTATGATAAGGTCTTTATCATAAATGAGCGACCCCTTAATGTACAGGTAAGATCTTTACTCGTACAGGGTCTTTAATCACTCATGCTAGTCTGTCCAGATGTTTTGTCAGGAACCGTTGCAGTGGCCTTACTTGTAACCTTCCTGTGTGAGTCAAGTCCTGCGCCGAGGTTAGTAGACCGAGTAGACATTGCCATGTTTGTAGTTTTAACGGAGAGATGACTGCTTGTGGAATCATGGCTTGTATCTTGACCCAATGATCTTCTGGGACCACAATTCGATTCTGTGTTGTGATAATTCTTATTCACAGCAATTGAAGATCTTGTTTGATTCTAACTCCAACTTCATCAGGTTCACTAGCCATCTTAGTTGTGTGAGCAACTTAATTGTGAAGTTCAGCTGCTGTCTAAGTTGATTGGCACTTTGAAGAACCTGTATGCTGTCGTCCAAATAACCAGCACTGCGTAGACCTTGATGCTGCAGATAGGTGCCGATAGGCTTGGTTATTCGTATATATAATCATAGAGCCAACGGTAGGACGTTCCATTGGAAGTGCTAACCTCTGATTGCAGTGATGATACATCATTCTTCTCCTTATATACGCAGGCAATCTGTGTTGATCAGCATACATTGAAGTGTTGTCTATTTATAGCAAGGCTGGCTCCAGTGTAGCATTGCAGGGGACAGGTACTCATACCGACCTTTAATCAGCGACAACTTCCAAAATGAACATCATTTATCCTGCTGTCAAGGCTAGACATCTATTAGATTCCCATGATGATAACAGGCCGTAGTTGTATACTGTTTCCAAGGCTGCCGATGAAGTATTCCCCCGTACCACGGGTTTGTTTACATGTCAGTAAACTTGCTGGCACCTGCTCTGTCCGTGGGAGGCATTGTCTGACGTGGACCAATCAGCTTCCAAGCATGACGTCACCAGTGTTGTAGCAAGTTGGCCTCCATAAAATCTGATGCAATTAGTTGGTTGAGTAAAAGCGCGCATAATTCTACGCCGCTCATATAAACCTCTTGAATAAGGGGTTGCTCCAAGTGTAAAATTTTGTTCAGTGATATAAATCACGTATTCCCATTGTGGATAATATAAGCCAGCATGAAGAAGGAGGCTGTCGAGATGTATGTCTGTATGGATCTTGAAGAAATACCGATGTTGAATCTAGTTGACAGGATATAAAATCCTAATCCCCACGCTGAGTGACGAGAGTTAATAATATTATCTGTACGTCCGTTTAAGTATTCTTGAAGGCATTGTCAACCTTAAGCCCTTTACAAAGGTCGCCTTGAGGTTCTCCAGTACTCCAGGCTACATAGGTGATATCATATTGGAGTCGAAGTCATCAGCGTATATGCAGTACGTCTCTGTTGGGTTAGAGTGAGTGAGTGAACGACAATATCCGCAGGCCATCTGCTACCCGGTATAAGACCTCAGCATCCGTGTAGATGAAAGGATTCCTTTCATCAAGTAGGTTGTCGTCCGAAACTGAACCTATACAGGTATAAGGTTTGTGTAGGCTGTAAACTGTAGAGATTGCACATATTGTAGATCTTTTTTGTTGAGTTATAAACTCTGACAAAACCATCCGTTTTCATCATTGCTTCGTTTTATTCAGCTGTATGGTAATAGAGTTGACGTCAACATCTTGCCTGTTGATCTAAGGGTTCGTTAACCCTATGGTTCGCAAACCCTGTAGATGTCTGCGTTACTGATAACTGCCTGTAGATCTGAGAGTTCGCGAACCTTGGAGATGTCTGCATTACTGATATCTGCTTGTTGATCTGAGGGTTCGGGAATCCTATGGTTCACGATCCTTGTAGATGTCTACATTATTGTAGATATCTGCATTGCCTCTTCTCTAAACTTCCTCCTGCGAAACTTCCTTTCAAAACCTTCCTTTCACATCCTCTATCTGTAGATTCCCCCTTTGCAAACGTTTATCTTGACGGTCCTCTCTTCGCAAACCTCTATCTCTGAATACATCTCTTCGCGAACCTCTGTGACATTAACTTTCTCTTCGCGAACCTCTGTCTCGTTCGTGATGAGTGACTCCGCGAACGTCTGTGAGAGATATGAGATCTCGATCTAGAGCGGCTTGGAGTAGGAGAAGGATCCTTAGGTGTTCTCGAACGTTGAGGGTTCGCAGATGTTGAAGTGTGAGTAGGCTTCTCATGTCTTCTATCCTCCTCCAAGATGACAGAGTCGTCAGACTGTGGAGACCTTTGCAAAGGTATACGTTCGCCAACGTACTCTTGAGAGGTAGTTCTCTGAGGAGTAGGTTCACGCAGGTCCGTGGGTTCACGCACGTTGTCAGCAGATGAGAGGTTCCGTCGCGTTCTTATAACTCGGGGGGACCACTTTCTTGTCTTACTTCAATCTCAGACAAGTTGAATCATGTTGATTCATGTGGCTTCAGATAAACTAGTATCTTCTTACTACTAGATATCTATAACAACCCATAGATTATGATAAGATCTTTATCATAAATGAGTTGCGACCCCTTCATGTACAGGTAAGATCTTTACCCGTACAGGTCTTTAATCACTCATGCTAGTCTGTCCTAGACTGTGCACATGGACTTTCAAACTAATACTTTTCCTTAGTAAAAGTTATCAACAAGTCAATGTGATAAAGGGTGAGATTTTCCAACTCAGCGCCTTTGTGGAACCGTTAGTTCGTCACACAGCTGGCCTGCTGTGGCAGTTGCAGGAGAAGATCTAGTAGTCGTGGAAGTCGATTGAGTCGCAATCTCTTAGGTACTTCAGGTAGAAGTAACAGGGGATCATAAAAAATGTCTACTTCTTACTTTGAGCCGGTGTCAACTGCGTTGTAGCCGATCTCTTCTTCGCCCCCGAACCAGACGACTGCCCCTGCAACATACTCAATATAGCACCAGTATTATGGATTTCAGCCATAGCAAGCAATATAAAGTTTGCAGATTGATCTTCTGATTTATCAGCCATGACTTGTGATGACTTCCTCACCTGATCCATGGCACGCCTATAGATATAAGACAAATATTGATTAAACTGTAGATTTGATAAATCAACACAATAAGTATAGCACAAGCTGGAAGAACATGGTTTGATGCACGAAGGGCATGGGGGTGAGGATCAGCCACGGATAACCTGTGCCTGCAAACACTGCAAGATTTCATGAAATGTAAACAAGTTACATTACGATGAAATTATGGCACAAATACAAATAATTTTTACAAATTTTTACATATAATACAGAGTAATTATAGCCAAATCCATACACAGCGTTATTTTTAAAAATAGGATCTACATTAAAAGGATATAATGCCGTATATGGGACTCCAGTGCTCGCCCAACCATCCGCTTCGGCAAAAGGGAGGGAGTGACATGTAAGGCTGGTCACATGACTGTTTTCGCAGGAAAAGGGAGGTAACTCGTGGGTGAAGTGTAATTTTACGTCCGCTTCAGTAACTTCAAGGGATTTAAGTGTTCAACTACCATTCGCAAGGGAAAGGGAGATAA